AAAAAAAAAGTGTAAAAAAATACTGAACTGTAAATACATGGAAAAAAATAGAAATATTTGTTGAAGGTAACAGAATTTGGATTTGAATCATGGTAGTCTTATAAAGATTAAGTTCTGATCCAATATAATCTTCTCATGTTAAAACTTAAATTTTTAGTAGATTAAATCTACTCTTGATTTTTACTGATTTTTAACAAGACTTAGGATTATTTCCTATATACCACAGCCTGATAACTACCTTTGAGGCATATCCCCAGAATGAGCTATAACACGAGTTACTTTAATAAGTATTGTTAAGCAGCTCTCCCTGGTAGCACAGTGGTTTGGGTTGCAGCACTGTAAGCTAGCCGCAGCCATTTCAGTGCTATTTTGATCTTGGACCCTGGAGATGATCCACACGGCACAGCAGACCTCTCCTGTCTTGCCTGCTGCTCCCCTCAGTGGTGTACTTTGTTGATCTGCCTCTTCTGTTCTCCACTCTGTCTCTGGTGAATCTTCTCACTGTCCCTGCACCTCTAGCTTGTACCCCAGTTCTGTATGCATAAATAAATAAATCATAAAAAAATAAGTATTGATAAGCAAGTACAGTTTATTCTGAATTGGGTTTTAAGGTACCCTTCTTGCAGTTAAAAATTCATACATAACTTTGGCTTACCCCCAAACTTTAACTGCCAGTTGTTTTCTTATATCTGCTGAGAATAGGTTTCAGGGCTCTTACTGATATCAAAGCCCTTGGGTGATTGTGTCCTTGAATCTTGTTTTACTTGCCTATGATATGTTTATTATACATCTTTGTAGTGAATCTTTCTCAAAAGGATTGAAATGTCAGTTTTTCTTCTTCTTTTATCTTAAGCACTGCAGCAGCACTTAGCAGACATTAATGTGGATGGACCTGAAAATGGATATGGCCATTGGATTGCTAGTACCTCAGGCTCAAGAAGTAGTATCAATTCTTCTGTTGATGTAAGTATATTTGTATAATATGTTGTCATGTTTGGATAAATACCCAGAAAAGGTGACTAATGGGCCCATCATAACAAACGAAGTAAAAATACTTCAATCAGATAAAATGTAGTCATATTTTTATAAGAATATTGAAATGGGCCCTCCCTGGTGGCTCATTGGGTCAAAGCACAACACTATGAAGCTACTGCAGCCACTGCAGCATTAGTTAAAATCCCGGCCAGGACGGTGACACACCTGGCTTGGCAGACCTCTCCTAGCCTGCCTGCTGCTCCCCTCAGGAGTGTACTTTATCAATTTGCCTGTTCTGCTCCCTGCTCTGTCTCTCTGGTGAATCCTCTCATCCCCCGCATCTCTGACCTGTACCCCATTCTGTCTGCATAAACAAATAAATCCTTAAAAAAATTTTTGAAATGATGGAACAAACATACAGAGCTAAGGGTTTTAAAAGTTTACATATAAAGTTTAGATTTCTCCCTCTTTAGCTATAATTGGGTGTCATCTAATGAGTTTTCTGCTCTATGTTAAATTATCAGGAAAGATAATTCTAACCCTTTGACAAGTTGGGAACCTCGGGTAAGCTGTTTCTAGGATTCTGTAATTAGTTTGGGTCTGGGGAATACTGAGGGTTATGGTTGTATCTACTGCATAACTTGTTTATACTCCACTCTAACAAGACTTACATGATTAGAACCTTTCTGTCTACTCTTATTTGTGAATGGGCCAGGGAGAGGAAGATAGGAACCAATAATCAGCCCATTATATTTTATTTTTAGTCATTGATATGTACATTACTACGGGAATTTGCTGTAGTGGATTAACTTTTTGTTTGTTTACTTTGGAAATATTTGGGCAATAAATTGTTTTTTGCTCTTTCAGTCAGTATTTCATGTCACTTCACATTTAATCATTTTCTTAAAAAATCATTTTCTTAACAATTAGTATTCCATATCTATTTAGTGATTAGTCTTTTAAAAAAAAATAGAGGGAAACTTCAGTAGAAGGTCATGGTTACTACCTTGAGTTTATGGATCTGACCGGCTTGAGATGAGGGGCCATAGTATCCAAAACATCTGGATACTCTTTAGCAGTTAGTGTATCAGCATATCATTTTGCGAAGTTATTTTATCCATTTTCTTTTTCAGGGTGAATCTTCAAATGGCTCAAATGATAGAGGAATGAAATCACTAGTCAGTAAAATGACTGTTGCTTTGAAGACAAAATCTGTTAATGTCAGGGAAAAAGTTATCAGTTTTATTGAGAATACATCAACTCCTGTGGACCGGTGAGTTGCTTATATAGTGTAAGTTTAAGTAATTAAAGCAAAAAAAAGTGTCTTGTAGTAAATGTCAGTTTGATTGTGTTCTAGAAAAAGACCATACGGTACAACTTTTTAAATGATTCCAGTTTTCATCATCACTTCAGAGATGCCCTTTATTGCTATAAGTCTCACAAAGATTTCTTTCTTTTTCTGTTTAGAATGAGATGCAAATTATGGGTCTTCCTTTTCATGTCATTTATTTAAAAAACTTGCAAATGCCGTTATATATGTTATACTTCATTTTAATAATTGCTTTCCATATGTTTAATGCTTTCCACAGATTAATGGGACTCGTTTACTAAAGGTAGTAATCTTATAATAGAAACCTCTTCTCTATAAAGAGTGTAAGATCTAGAAATTTTGGTCATGGTAGATAATGCTGAAATCCATTTCTTATGTTTAAGAATTCAAACCTCTGAAATTCTTTTTAAAGACTATAAATGTGGGCCCTCCCTGGTGGCACAGACGGTTAAAGCACAACACAGTGAAGTTGTCAGCAGCAATTGCAGCACTAGTTCAATCCCCAGCCAGGGAGGTGACCCACATAGCAAGGCAGACCTCTCCTGACCCACTCACTGCTTTTCCTCAGCAGTGTATTTCAGTACATCTGTCTGTTTTGATACCCAGTCTCTCTCTGGTGAATCCTCTCACCTCCTGCACTGCTGACCTGTATCCAATTCTTGTGTGCATAAAAAAAATCTAAATGACCCTTTTATTTGTGTGAGTTACAAATGAAGGACACAGCTGACAAGTGGTAAGCATGTTTAGGATATCTGTTATATTGCTTTTTTCTGGAACTGTGAATGTACAGTATTTTTTTTTTCCTCCACATATCAATCTAGTTGTTCTTTCCAGTTCCTAGATTTTGAAGCTAACCTAATAATTTCAGCCCAGATTCTATTTCCTTGCAAGCTTGATCCTGGAAATGTATTATAGTATTTAATTTCTTTCATATCTTATAATATTTTAGGAAAGTTGAAATTTTTGACTTTAAGAATTGCCAGGCATTAATAATAGTTTATTAAATGTATTGCATTTGCATGCAAAAGTTTGTATAGTTTTCTCATTTAGCAAATTGCAAAGAAAAGAGTAAATTATTTTCACTAATCCAAAAATTATGCTTGTCTTAAGTAGCCAGCTGATAATTAGTGTTTTATCACACACAAAAGATTTTTTGCTCATTAAAATTATGTCTGCTCCAAAGTCCTAAGTTTTGTACTTCTTAGTGCATCCTGAATTAAAATAGTATTATTGTATTTTGTGGCATGAACATTTAAATTTTATTTTTCTGTGCTTATATTTTAAAATTAAATGGTGATAACACTAAATTTAAAAGACTTGTCTTTGTTAAAGAATACCTTGAAACTGGCTTTTCTTCATTTTTCTTTGTATTTGAGATGATTACAACATTTTCTTTGTAATGTACACTCTGAGTTATATAAACTGATTATACTGTATCCTTGTTTTGAAGCTGTTGTGTTTTTATAATCATTTTGTTCTGTCCTCTGCCTCAATTTGCTATAGAATGTCTTTCAATCTTCCTTGGCCAGACAGAACATGTACAGAGCGGTAAGCCAATTAGTAGAGCAGCTTTATTGGACCATCCTTTTCCTTTAGCATGCTTCATGCTGTCTTTACACGTCATCGTGGTCTTGGCTAAAATTTCATGCAGCTATTTTGAATGCTTTTTCTCATCCTGCTTTTGAAGAGTATGTTAAACTGAGTAATCTGCTTTTTTGGATTTTTCATTGCTGTTTTTTGGTTGATGACTTTTTTTCATAGAGTGCTTCTTCATATCTCTCATTTCTTAGGTGAAAATCAAATGCATTCAAATGTAAGAACTTCATAAATTTTCAGTTTTTATTTGGAGACAAAGGAAGGTGAAACAAAGAAAATACATAATCTCAGAATAGGCAGAATATTAGTCGTGGAGATTATTTACCCCTTCTATCTTCTGCCCTAACCATTGAGAAATTATAACAAGTGAAAAAGGCAGAGTTTATGGTTCATAACTTTTGATAATTCATGTTCATTATATAATTTTATAATATTTACAAATATATGTCTTTATTCTGATAAGTTAACGTATATTCAGATCCAAAGAACAACAATTTGGGAATTCTACCATTGGTTTTCCTTGAAAGAAATTTCAATATAGTGACCACTATAATGTATAATCCATTTTTACCCTGCTCTTAATAAGTTGGGGTACTTGTCATTAGACAAGTTTAAAGCTTAAAAAGCTTGGAACTTCAAGCAAGTTAGAAGAGAACAGCTTTACTAATGTTCCTATATGACGTTGTAGTTTTTACACTTAGAATTTTTCTGCAGTTTAAATTAGAATGTCAATTATAAAAATATCCATGTTAAAAGAAATTGTCATCCTTTGAATCTAAGTTAAACTTTAAAATAATGCAGTTAACTTTTTCTCAGGTCATTTTAATACTTTCAAGGACTAGAAGTAGCATTTTTAAAGAATAGCCTAACTTCCTGATAAGAATTTTTATGTGATTATCCCTGCATAATGCCAATTACAGAACTTCTATTGTAATTTTATCTTAGACTATTTTTAAAGCAATCTGATTCTTTTTTTCTCTTGTTATAGGATCATTGAATTAGCCTGATTTGATTTAATTCCCAAGTTTTCTCACAAAAATTTTTTGAGGCTTTGAGATCCTATTGAGAGGTAGATGGACAGAGACAGACCAGCCCCATCCAAGAACTATTCCACTAACCCTCATGTTGATTCCAAACACACTTGCTTGATCCCTGCCATAGAATTCTACCCTTAGGTAGACTATCTCTACTTAGACTTTGCCAAATTCCTCTTTCACATAACCCTTTGAAAGAGATGTAAAATGATGGCTGTTTTTTTTTAAGTCACTAATTGCTTATTAAATCTGGGTGAGGGCCCAGCATGAAAGACTTCATTTCTCTCTCTTGATGATACTCTCAGGCTGAAAGGGTCATTTTTCTCTCAAATTCTAAATTTAAAAAACTGAAATTATCATCTGTGGTCCACAGACAGATGTATCTATTTTGAAAAAATAATTAATTGAAAAGTTAGAATGAATTGCATTTTTCCTGTGCTTAGAAAAGTAAAGCCTGGTCTAACTACTTTATAGGTGCCTCTATTATTACTTTGACTTAAATTATATAGATATTCTGCTTTTAAAAAGATATCTAGCATTGAATTTCATTAATTGTATTTCTTTTAAGAACTATCTCAGTAATCTTTATCAATTTTGTTTGTAAAAACGACGTATTTGTCGGACCTTCCCTGGTGGTGCAGCAGGTTAAAGAGTAGCACTATAAAGCTAGTCACCACTGCAGCGTGAGTTTGATCCCCAACCAGGGGGGTGACCCACATAGTGCAGCAGACATCTCCTGTCTTGTCCACTGCTCCCTCAGCAGTGTACCAGTTCTGTATGCATAAATCAATAAATCTTAAAAATATAAAACAAAACTACATATTTGACATATTTGTCTAGATCAGTAATGAAAAGTTTTGTTGGATTGTTACTTTACTCATACTTGCATTCTGGCTAAATATGGCATTTAATATAAGCACAATCTTTGTTACTTTTTTGCACTAGTGCTTAATAATGTTTGTGATATTAGAGAAATAATAATTTAATTTTACACTTTTTATGATGTAGAAGCCACAAAGTATTTTTAGGTAAAATTGTATTTATTAATCTTTGTCTTTGCTTTTTATGAGAAAGCTGAATCAGAGTTTCATATGTTTGAATTATTTTTCATTTTTTATCACTAATGAGCATAATTCAGTCATTTACAGGGTAATATTATGTTAGATATGTTTTAGCAAAATCAAAGGACTTTATAATTTTTATTTACGGTTAACTTATGATTTCTAAGAATATCATTTACATGCTTACACTCTCAACTCTTACTATTTTTCTCTTGAAGAATGTTGATGTGGGAAAAGTAAAGATTTAAAACTATTTCAACAAAATTAGGATGTAATATTTTATTGATTTTTATTTTGAAACTATTTAAAATACCATACTGATATCTATATGACGATTTTTTTCCCCATATTGAACAGTTTCTTGACCAAAAGTAAAGCCAGTTTTCCTTAATTGAACCTTATTCTACATATAATATGATGCCTTTGCCCCCAGAAACACTTTGTTTTTACCATTATGTCTTGGTTTATTTGAGATGACCTAAAAAATAATGAGGTTACTGAAAAGAGAGATCTTATGTCCTACAACTAACTAAATTTTCAGTTGTCATATTTATGCATTAGTCACTTGAAAGACAGATTCATTTTCATTATTCATATTTATGTAAAATAAGTAGAATCTTAGTCTCTGTTGAAACAAAAATAATAGTAATAAAAAATGGGTGGAAAAATCTTAAGATGCTTATGAAAAGTGTAACACCCTCCTTCCAGAATTTGAGTACTTGGTTTCATAATCAATTTTGTTTAACAGATTATATACAGAGTAGGCATTATTATAAAGTAGTAACTAACTTAATTCTCATATTAATCAGAAAGGATAGAAAATGTCATAATTTTACAGATGAGCTTAGAGAGGTGAAGTAATTTTCCCTAAAGCCACACAAATATAATAGAGGTTTTAATATGACTATTAAAATTGTTTAAAATTTAACTTTTACAGATTTGAAATATTCAGTCACTATTAAGTTCTTAGGCCACTAACATAATTTCCTTATTTCAATTTCCTTAACACAGCTGTCCTGAAACTGGGTAGTACCTGGGGCAACTAAGAACAATTACATTTTGCTTTAATATTCAAATGGTACTTGGTAAATCTTTGCTAACTTCTGAAGTGATAATTTCTCCCTTAAAATTCTTTGAATATAGGCATGTGAGCAGCAGTGACAGAGTGGGCAAACCTTACCGTGGTGTAAAGCCTGTTTTTAGCATTGGAGATGAAGAAGAATATGATACAGGTATAGTAATACATTTATCTACAGATTGCTTTCCTTGGACACTGTGTGTGACTAGAGAGAGCCTTCTGGGACTAACAAAAAGATCATTTTAAAAACAAAACATACTGAAATTTCATAGATGAAATTGGAGATTCTGTAGTTTTTCTGTTAAGAATTTTGTTTTAGGCATCTTGGGTTATGCTTATTAGAAATCCAAGCAGAAAATTGAGTGGGTAGTTGATTATAAGTGCCTTTATAGCTGAGGAGAGAGAGCTAAGCTGTTGGTGAGCTAGGAATTACAAGTATAGAACTAATATTTAAATCCCTGGGGTTACATTTAACTCTACTTGATCTACACATCTAAAAGATGGAGAGTTGCACTTAAGTACAGGCAATTCCAGAATTGAGATATCTGATTAAGAACCTTTTGAAACTGGAGGCAATATCGTAAAGGACCACAAGATGGAGATATTTTAACAGGGAACTTGTCATTCACTGTGTGGTTCTTTATATTTCAAAAATATATATTATTACTTTGGTTCATAATCACACTACCCAGAATATCCTGTTAGGAAACCATAATTATTGGTAATATATGCACTGAATTAGAAAAAATAATATTTTGTAGTTATAAATATACAAAATGAAAAGAGAATACCCCCAAATCTTAACCTTATTTTTCTTCTGCTTAGTAATATATTTTATATTTTCCATCTCAGTGCATATACCTTCTCAATTCTCTTATCATATAAACATACCATATACTATAATTTATTTATAAATAATTAGTCTTCTCCCAGTAGACACTGACAGTTTTCCACTTCTGTTTCAGTTTCAAATAGCAATGAGTATTTTTATATATGTATCTTAACTGACTTTTGTAAGTATATCCACAGGTAAATTCTTAACAATAAGATTGTTACATTATAGGGAACCATACTGGACATTTGTAATAGATGTTACAAAATCACCTTTTAGGAAAATTGCATTGAGGTAAAAACTATTTTCTGTGTGGTATTTCTAATTGATTTTTAGCCTCCTCTCTGTTGCCATTTTCCATTACATATCACTTTCTAGCTCCCCTCTGAATATCTCAGCTCTTTCCACTAACAAAGGGGAGAGGTAAATTATGGCATGTTTATGTATGTCATATGTATATATTTACAACAGGTAATTGCAAAGTAATGAAAATGTGAAAATGAGTTATGTTTAATAGTGTGGATAAATTTTAGAATGTTGGAGTGAGGTAGCAATTGCAGAATAATAAAATTGAATAGTCGGCCATTTACATAAATTTTAAAATGTAAAATGCTGGTTGTACATTATTTAGGGATATTCACATATTGTTAAAGACATACATAGATAATACCAAATTCAGGTAGTTTTTTCTTAGTGGGTGAGTTGGGAGGCTATAATTGGGGAGTGTGAGGGCTTCACTTTTTAATTTAAGCTGGAAGTACATAGGTACATGAGGGTTTTTTTATTATGATATTTCATTATACCTGAAGTTTTTCTTAAAAAGCAGAAGGAAAAACAATTATTTAACACTAGTGATTATATAATTCTACCCTTTCTTAAGTTACATAATTAGAATATTTCTCAAAAATACCTACTATATATATATATACATGTTTATAATTTTCTCAGTATGATTGTGTTTTATTTTCCTCAAAATCAACTTAGCAAGCACAAAAGAACTGCCATCTTTGCCTTAAGATGGGTGCTTATTATTTGACAGTTCAGTTATTGTAAATCAAAAGAAGTTCAGACTCCTCAATTTAATCTTTTAAGAAATTTTCACTTGACTTTCTTACCGTATAGAGTTATGTTTTACCATATTCATGTATTAGCACCAGTGAAACAAGGAAATATAGAACAGAATTGGTTTCTTTCACCTGTGTGTTTAAAGGAGAGCATTTTTTATACCGGATGGTTTCACTCATAGCAGGAGCATAAAGGACAGGGGGGGGGGGATAAAAATAATGAACAACTATATATTAGAGACATTTTACAGTGGTGGAGTGGGGAATAGGATCAAATATTGGGCGGGGTGGGGGGGATGGGGGAGTACACTGGTCTGTGGTGATGGTGTATCACCATAGGGTGCTTTGGTGATGGAAAGCCCACAATTGAGATGGAAAAGGGCACAAAATGATGTAAAAATAAACTATTATATTATTTAAAAAATATATATATAGCATTTTTTTTCACTTTTAAGAAGTGCATTATTTTTAAAGTTGCTAGTAGCACTTTAAATTTTTTATAGATGAAATTGACAGTTCTTCAATGTCAGATGATGATAGAAAAGAGGTTGTAAATATTCAGACTTGGATAAACAAGCCAGACATCAAACATCATTTTCCCTGTAAAGAAGTGAAAGAAAGTGGACACATGTTTCCCAGGTACATTTTAAAATGTCTTTCTCAGAAGTAAAACTGATTTTAGGGGAGTTAATAATATAAAGGTGAAACACAGACTAAACTTTTTAAACCCAAGTACAATAAGATAATTTCACTTTGCCAGTTTGATACTTAAAACTAGTTCTAATGTAATTTTTTCATTCTGAAATATTTCAACAGAGTTAAACAGTACATTAAATACCTTTTTAGATTTACCAACTTTTAATTTATTTCTATACACCCCATTTGTCTATTTCTATATATACACATGTATATATACACATAGATATGTATGAATGTTTTGTCACACCATGCAGAAACAGCTTGAAGAAAAGACTTTCACCCTGAATGTTCCAGTGTAAATCTCACCAGAATATGAGCATTCTTCTACATAACTCCAGATTATCATCACATTTTAAAAACCTTAAGAACATCATTTCAACACACATACTAAAGTAACTTTCATAGTATTTGTTTTTTTCTTTCTAATCAAGAGTATAGTAATGGCTCACACATTATATTTGACTGTACTTCTCTTTAGTCTCAGTCAACATGTAACAGAACTATCCTCACCACTCCTTCCACATAATCTTTATGATGCTTGAATCCCTTAAGTCAATTGTTCTGCAGAATGTCCTGTATTTTGACTCATCTGATATTACTTACATATATTGCCACTTTTTACACTTTTTAAAAAGTCAGTTTAGACACAGGAGAGATGTTAATCCTGTGCCTATTTTGCCTTCAAGATTCAGTTACAGATACTGTAAAATATGTGTGACAGCTTAGCTGCTGTTTAGTGGTATATTATATTAAATTAAATATATGCTGTGGTGTGTTGAATGAGAGTAGTTAATGAATATAGGTAGTAACTATAAAAAATTTGAAAGGAAGTATGTTACCTGTACCATATAAAATAGATCCTAAAATATTATTTTTAAGATTTCTAATTGCACATGCGGTTTATTATAGAACATTGTATCTTTGCTCTTACAGCACTTACAATGCTATTTGTTAATAAAACAGTCTTGTATACAACAAAAAGAAAATTAAAAGCTTTTATTAAGTAGTTTGTTTATAGATAAGCTATTTTTTTTTTAAACTCAAAAGTAATTTTATCTGGAGTTGAACTTTTTTTTATAATTGGGGCTATTGAAATAACACCTGTTTTGAATTCATTATGTTTAAAATTCATTTTATTTTTAAATACTTTTTTCTCTTTCAAGTCATCTATTGGTTACAGCAACACACATGTATTGTTTAAGGGAGATTCTTTCACGGAAAGGCTTGGCTTATATACAGTCTCGACAAGCCCTAAATTCTGTAGTTAAAATTACATCCAAAAAAAAACATCCTGAGCTAATTACCTTCAAGTATGGAAACAGCAGTGCTTCAGGAATAGAAATCTTGGCAATCGAAAGGTAAGATTTCTTAGTCTGGTAAATGATTTTTGACTTTAGTACATTATTAAATATTTTCTCTATTTGGGGTAATATATTGTGGAGTAGTATATTTGAATCACTTTTATTAGTGTTTGTTACATCTTTTATTCCAGATGCTTAGTCATGTTTAGTTTAGCTAATATTTATGCATGATTTCAGTAAGAACCATAGCTAATTTCATAAACTTTTTTTTTTTTTGCATAGAACTGTGCATGGGTGTGAAAGGGCTCATCAGAGACAGAGTAGGGAGCAGAACAGGCAAATCTATTGAAATACACTGAGGGGAGCAGTGGGTGAGACAGGAGAGGTCTGCTGCAGTTATGTTTGGGTTAGCTCCTTGCCTGAGCAGTGGTGATAGTGCTGGGACTTAACCCCTAAGGCAAGCCCCTAATTTCATAAGCTTTTTGACAGAGCGTATTTAAGACTAATCTGTTCTGGTGCTGCACTAAATGCTGGTTTGCAATCAAATAAGGAGCTTGTCTCAGAATGTAAGTCGATGTTTTTATTTTATTTATTAAAAAATTCTTGTTTTGGAAGTGTCAGTGAACTAAGCATTGTGCTTAGTGATGTATTTGTCAGTCTGATACAAGCTCCTCCTTATCTCATAATGAACCAGTGACAAAAGGTTCATGGATCTGGTACAAGGGCCATAGAACACACTTGAAACTAAGTGTCTTTAAACTTTTTTTTTTTTTTAAGATTTATTTATTTGTGCATACAGAACTGGGGTACAGGCTGGAGGCTTAGGGGCAGCGAGAGGCTTCACCAGAGGCAGAGTGGGGAGCAGAACAGGCAGATCGACGAAGTACACTGCTGAGGAGAGCAGCGGGCGGGTCAGGAGAGGTCTGCCACGCGATGTGGTCACCTCCAGGGCAGGCGGGAATCAAACTCAGCGGAAGTGGCTTTAGCTTCTCAGTGCTGTGCTTTAACCTGCTGCGACACCAGGGAGGGCCAAAGTATCTTTAATCTTACAGATAATTTCACAGAGGAAAATATGTGAAGCCTTGAGGTGTTGGATCACTTCCCAAATCTTCACGCCTAGTATATGATAGAAACAAACAAAAAAAAGCCCTCCTTGCTCCTGGTTTGAGGTTCATTTTACCTTATATTAATTCAGGTTTTCCTCCTGGTAAGATTTGGGATTGTAATTCTTATTCATTTACAGGTGTGTTTGAATAAAAAGTAAGCTTAAGATAATGTCTTAGCACTTTGAAATCAACATCATTTGAATGAAAAATTAGACCCTCCCTGGTGGCACAAGGGGTTAAAGCACAACACTACAAAGCTAGCCACAGTCTCTTCAACAGGAGTTCAATCCCCAGCCAGGGAGGTGACCCTGGGAGTGTGGAGACCTCTCCTTACTGATGCTCCCCTCAACAGTGTACTTCATCGATCTTCCTGTTCTGCTCCCCACTCTGTCTCTGGTCAATCCTTTCACTGTCCTTGCACGTCTGGCCTGCTCCTAAGAAGTATTCTGTATGCACAAATAAATCCAAAGAAAAAGGCCCTCCCTGGTAGCGCAATGGGTTGGGGTGTAGCACTTGGCAAGCTGGCCGCAGCCACTTAAGTGTAGGTTCAATCCCAGACCCCAGAGGTGACCCACATGGGGCAGCAGACCTCTCCTGTCCCCCCTGCTGCTTCCCTCAGAAGTGTACTTTGTTGATCTGCCTGTTCTGCTCCCCACTCTCTTTGGTGAATCCTCTTACCACGCCCTGCACCTCTGGCCTGTACCCCAGTTCTTTGTGTATAAAAAAATAAATCTTAAAAAAAAAGAAAAATTAATTCTTTCACCTTGTACTGACAGCTAGCAAAAGTCATGAATCAGTACTGTTATAAGTACTCAGTAGAAAAAAGTAATATCTGTATATTTTAAAAAATTGCATCATTTTAAGTAATATATTTTAATTATGAAAATACTTGAGTAATGAAGGGTAACAGAAAGATTTGTCACCCAAGCCCCACTTTGTTAACACTTTGGTGAATGTTTTTTCAGAATCTTTCTACATATATATATGTTTACATTATACATTAACAGCTAGTTAAATGTCATAGGTTTTTTGTGTATTCTAATTTAAACAGAAATAATGGTTCAGAGAACTTTAGCTCTATACTATGTGCAAAATTACCTGGCTTTTATTTCTCAGTTTTCTTCCATTCAAAATATATTTCTGAGTATATGTTGTATTGAGTATATGTATACTCAAAATATAATGTTGTATATATTGTTGAGTATATGGGGAGTACCGAAGAAGACGTCTTTGCTGCCTTCATGCGTCAGGGAAAACTTCCCGTAGATGATTTGATCTCTAACCTGAGTCTTGAAGAAAAAGCATGGTATTAATATATATCTATATATTTTCCCTCCATAGGTATTTGATTCCAAATGCAGGAGATGCAACCAAAGCCATAAAACAACAGATCATGAAAGTTTTGGATGCTTTGGAGAGTTAATATAAAAGAAAATTATTTTAAAAGTAATTAAGGAAAACAAGAGAAGAAACATGGACATATTTTCCTGACTGAATACTAACTGGAGACCTTTCATTTGCTTATGGGGGGTGCTTGAATAGCAGGTCTAAGAAGGTGTAAATTATTATAATCAATCTCTGGACAGTTAAATTTTTTAAAAAAATTTTTTTTTTTGCATTTTTGGTTTTATATAATGATTTACTATAAAGGTCAGTTATTAAATAACTTTAAAGTAACTGACCTTGTGCCCTTATGAACTAAGGGTACAGAATGCAGTTCTGTTTTGAAGAGCTGTTTTAAGGGCATATGCATCACTTTCAGATTTAAAAAAACAACCATATACTTATATTTTTGCAATGTCTTCACTGAAACATAGAATTAGTTGAAGAGACCCCTTTGATTGCTATATTAAGTTTTACACACTCAGCAGTATCAGAAACTAAAAAGTATTACATAGATTAACGATTAGCTGTTTTTAAAAAGTAAAATCATTTTAATAAAATGGATGAAGATTCCAACAAACTCAGAATGTACCCAACTAATGAAATGGTGAACATGAATTTCTAACTCATTTTTGCAACATATACTAATAATAATTTAAGCATTGAGTGCTTTCACTACTAACCTTCATCATAATTGTTCCTAAAGAGTAGTTAAAAGCATTATAGTAAGTAGGTGGGCATGAGAGTAAAATGATTATTTTGGGGACAGAATTGAATTCGTAAAAACATCATTGGTCTTTATTATAAGTGAAATATTTGACTTAGGATATTTCAGAACAAGTGTTGAGCACATATTTATGTATCCAGACCTTGAGATTATGGTCTGTGAGCACACTGATATCCACTTAAATAAAAACCAAATAATTAGCTATATAAACTAATTGTTTCTATCACTACTTTCTGAAAATTCTCTCTTGATTTTTGTCTTCTAAAGTTCCATTGACTTGAAACTATTTTTATTCTCAAAAGTAATCTTTCTTTTGCATTTTCTCAGCTTAATTGAGAATTCTGTATTACACATACTTCATAAAAGAAATTTGGGAATACATTTGGGGCCATTGGATGACTTCTTGTAAAATTTTATTTGGGAAATTGCAAATCCTCACTCTCTGCCATGTCCGAAAATGTAATGGATTTTCTCTTAAGGGGTTGATAGAAGAAATATTTAGATTTATCTTATTTACAGGCAATTCTTTTAATATACTTAATGAAAATCAAGTGAACAAAAAGCAACATAGTTAAGGATATTTTATTCTAATATCTAAATTTATTATAATACCTAAATAAAAAGTTTACTTGAGTGGTTGAAGACATTTGCATGGAATTGCACCTGGTGCAGTACTTGTTATTTATAACTCTCCTCTACACCTCTTGTATTGTGTTTTTCCTTTTCTTAGCATCCGCTTTAGAAAATGTCCTGAAGTCTCTCTCTCTTTACCCATCTCAGTTATGGGACTCTTTTTCATAATATTAATGTAAAGATGTTTGTGTTACAGTTTATAAATTACAATTGTAAATAAACCAGTACAGTTTGCTGAAACTTTGTTCTTAATGATGTCTTTTTCTCTCTCTTCCAACCCCTCATTTGTAAATGTCTATAGAGTAAAAAAAAAAAAATTGAGGGCTGTCCTACTAGTAGAATTTAGATGATCAGATTGCACGTCTGAGGATATTAGATTCATAATTATTTCTTACGTAGATGGGGAGGGGAAAGAGGTAATTAAAACTACTGACACTAAAATCTACATGTAGTAAATTACTACTACGAATTTATCTGAATCTGTTTTCTCACCTGAAATAACACCAGTTATTGGTCATGAATACTAAGTCAAAATATATTTCATTGATTGTTGGCTCATACTCCTTTAATGGTTTACTAACCACAGAACTAGAATTCACTGTGGGATAGCTACCTGTCATGAACTCTCCAGTATTATAGATATTGTGACTCTATGAAGTTTCATAATCTCATAATTAATCTCACAATTTTTTGATTCCTGTTTTAATTTCCTCTTTAGTAGCTGTTTAGCAGCATGTTGTTTAGCTTCTTGTAATAGTTTTTGTTACAATAGTTGATTCTAGCTTTATGTCATATCAGAAAAGTAGTCAATATTAATTTCAAACTTCATAGTTTCATTGGTGATTGACTTGTGTCCTAATATATGACCTAATCTTGGTATGTTTCATGTGCACTTGATAAAAATGTATATGCAGTGGTTTTTTAACTCTTGTGTACTATGTGACATGACCTTTCAGTAATCAAGGGAAGTTCTGAATTCACATCTTCTGATTTGTAGAAAATCGCATCAGAAATAGAGAAATTTGTGTATATATCTATGTGTGTATGTGTATATTTACATGCCTACATACCCTTTTGAACTCTCCTACTTGTGCAAAGGTCTAAATTAAACTCCAAAGTTTGATCTCCTTTTTGTAATTCTACACTTTATTGAGGACCTGTCAGCAACTCTTGTTACAAGAGATACTGTTCTTACTCTGCGCAAAATGCACCATTTTTTTCTAATTTTCAGCATTTCATTACTGACTGGTCTTAGTCATTTGCATAATTACTCATCCCCAGAACTGAACTCATGTTCCCTCAGACTAAGTTCCTTAATTCTATGGGGGAGTGATAAGTGTAGGATAATATGCTGATGAAAGGAGTCCAATTTTGAGTTGCCCCCAAAGTGGTCACTCCAAAATGAGTAAAACTTTGCAATGGATGGTGATCATGGGCAGAAGAGGAGGGGGAAAAAATCAGTGTTTCAGGAGAGTAAGAAAAAAGGGACTAAGATTTGGGGAGGGAGCTGATAGAGACCAAGACAATTGGAAAATAGCATAAATAGTGGTGCTTATGTAAAAAATAAAGCTATAAGGAGAAGCTCTCTAGAGATGATTTCAGACAGCTGAGTTTGAGCTGACATGAACAGAGATGGCGAACAAGCAGCTGAGATGTGGAGATAGCTCCTCTGGGACAATGGTGTAACTCTTGACTAGTACCAGCCTGGAAATGGTCATTAAAGCTGTGAGACATCATTGATAGTACCAGATTTTTAGATGGTGTAGAGTATCATTTAGTTTAGAAGTTTTATTCTCTTAATTTTTAAATACAAGATGAAAGGGAACCTGAAAACACAAATGCAGAGCTGCTGCAATTGAGCAGGGAGTTGAGTGGTGGACAAATTTAGTTTTCCAACTCCTTTTTCCTTCTCAGCTCTAAGTCTTTTCATGTTACAAGTGATGCAAAGGTCCTCAGTCAGGTGATTTGCTCTAGGACTTAGATCAAATTAGTAACAGAACTAGAACATAATTTGCCCTTTTATGTTCAGAAAATTCTAACATAATAATCACAATTCATTTTGAAATATTTATTCTATATATGTGTATATAAGAATATTTGCATCATTTTTCATTTTGTATATTTTTTCATCTTGGTTGTCATCCCTTTAGACTTCCCACTACCAATTTATCCATGTGCCTTCACTATAGTCTTGTATGCTCTTCCCACCCTAGTTTTGATCCTGTTCCTTTCATCACCCCCATAAAATGTCTCTGGTGTATAGTCGCTTGTTGATTTTTGTTTTTACTTTATTACAATTGGTTCTTTCTTTCTGATCCCTTATATTCCTATTACTTTCTTTGTATCAGCAGCTTGTTTACGTCCAATGTAGGGATCACAGCACACACTGGCTCTGGTTCTTAAATGGTCCTCTCCTGGATCTCCTGCCTTTTGGATGGCTCCTTCCCAGGTTCCACAGGCCCCTTTAGCCTGTGCCTCTCACAGTCCATTTGTGTGTTTTAATCCACATTCAGAGCTTCATTTTAGCTTAAACTGCTTACAACTCCTGAATCTCCTCCAGCCTGGACACCCAAGTTTGAGGTTAATGTCCTACTGCCTAGTGGGCATTTCCATCTGGATGTTCCAATAACATACCTGCTTTGTTTGATACAAGTATATGCCAGTAATCTTGTAAATCTAGATAAAATGATGTTTTAAAACGTAAGTGATTAATAATTGGTTCAAGAACCTCAATTGGCTAAATAAGCATAGTAAAAATCAAAAGGGTATTAAGGGTCTTACTGTCAAAAAGCCAGGTTCAGGTAGTCTGTTAAACCTCCCTTTTCTTCGCCATTGGGTTGTGTGCTCTTGACTTTTCCTTGCTATATCTGGTCAGACTTCCAGAATCAAGCAATTCCTGGCTAAGAAACAAAAGAATTATCCATCCCAGTGGATTCTGATGAAAACTGGTAAGAAAATCAGGTGCAATTCCAAGAGGATACACTGAAGAACCAAGATGTAAAGGATCACATGTGTGATGGCACACGTTAACGCTGTATCAAGATCAGTAGTGTCTTAACATACCACAATGAAAGCATCACTATGTTTTATGGATGCTTCCTCTTTGTATACTTCTGCTGTAAGTAGGCTGCGTCAGTAATAAATATGTAAGTGGGGATAACCCAAAGTTACCTCAATTATAAATAAAAAGAACCTACAAAAAACTCAATTATGTATTCCCCCTCAACTTATTCTAAGTCACACACACACACAAAAAAAGTCTTAGAATAATACCGTGAGCAATTATGTATCTTCATAGACTGAAGAACATTTTGTTGTACTTGTTTTATCTTGATTTTTTAGTTAAGCACATACTTTCTTTTTGCTGGCCACTTTCAAGTCAATAAGACAACGTGACATGTCACCCCTAAATCATCATGAATCTTCACAGAAGAAAGACACTGGCATAAACAATACTATTATCGCACAGAATTCGCAGATATACAGCTCATATTTCAGTCTAGTAATCCACAAAATGGCTCTATCTTTTAAATGCTAGGGAATTTCAATGTAATTATTACAGTATTCAAACAATAGCAAGTTTTTATTCATTTTATGATTTTCATCCCCAAATCTGACAAGCACAAAACAAATATAAACAACTACAATTAAAAATGCTACAAATAAATTCCAGGTTGATTTGTTCTTAAGGATACAGTAATATGTATACATTAGTGGAGACTGTGACTTTAAATAGATGTGTAAATTAAGGAGGTCCTCCAATTTCATTCCATGGTGGCAAGGTCTTTATTTTTTTCTTCACCGTTAAAAGGAAACCACATTGACCTCAGCAACATTATTGGAGGAACTCCTGTATTGTTTGAACCCTCAGTTCTTCTGTTTCCCCCACCCCATTATTTAGGTGCCTTGCAGTTGAATCCACTGGTATTTGAGTGCCTGCATCAACTTGGCTAATTCCAACCCAATCAACAAACAGCCGAAAGCATTTGGTATTACCTTTCATCTTACAAGGTGATCTAGCCAACAAGAGGTTGGATTTTTTTGCCGAACCTGAGAGGCCGGTTAAACCTCTATCAACACGCCATACCGTTTGGGGCCGCCCCCTTTCCTCCCGATGCCTGGGAGCAGTCCTTTTTCAGGATTGTATTGTGATTAACCGTTACTCCTAAATTCTTCCTAGCCCAAGCAATGAGGAAGCGACTTGAAGACCCGGAATGCAAATAACCTCCCGGGTCAGAGCGTAAAAACAAGCGAATAAGGGAGGGAATTGGGCTGTGGGAGCGCCCCAGCCGCGGTCGCCCCGCCCCCTCCTGCGCGCGGCTTTACCCCGCCCTTCGCGGAGCCCAGCAATTTTCCCAGACGTCTCTCAGGCTGCGGCGCGCCCATGGTGCTGCTCGGGAGAGCCATGGCCAGTAAGTGGCGCGGCGGCTGGAGCTCGGGCCTGAGGGAAGCTTCGGGTGAGGTGCTGCCGGAACGTCCGGCCGGCCTACCTCTTGCCTTCGCCCTGAACCCCTCACCGTGTGTGTGGCCTTCCTTGACACAGTGTCCGCAGGGCGCGGGCGGCGGGAAGGGGAGGCGGGGGAGCGGGCGGGTGCCCTCGTTGGTCGTCCAGATTTGGGCGGGGGATGGGGGAGCCATGCGGGGCTGGGAGCACCGCCTCTTCCCTTGTGTCCGCCTCACGCGTCGCTTGAGGCGCTGCTTCTGGTTGAGTTCCGGGGACACCTCCAGTTCACCTGCGTTGAGACTGTTAAATTTGCGTAAAAGCAGGAAAAACCAACGGGGTTGTTTTCACTGCTCACCTGGGATTGCTTTTTGGCTTCAGTCCTCAATTGTGATTTGAACCCGTTACGTGAAAAAAAAGCACCTGTTTTCTTGGGTTGGGCTGCACAGTAAGGTCTGGAGACTTTGTCCACACGGCACCTCCCCCACACCCATGGCGCAGCAGGCCCTGCTGAGCGCGAGGCTGAGGACCAGGTGTCTCTGCACTTCTAGATTAGATATTTCTGGTAACTCAGTCCCTCTTCGCCCAGCCCACAGGGTGAGTTTCTAGTCTTGTTTGTCCCCCACGTTGTACCATTAGGTAATTTTACAGGCAGTGGAGGACTTCGGACTCAGCGTAGAGATAAGAATTATTATAAATCTTGCCACAGCCAACAGCTTCCCTTGTCAACAAGTCATTTAATCGTTAGACCCCGTTGCCTGCCCTTTAAAATGCACATAAACTGCCCATGAGGGTTTGGTGAGGCTCTCCTGAGCTGGAAAGGTTTGTAGAAGTACTCTCTCTTATTTACACCCAGACTCTGTATTTGTGCTGGAACTGTGGAAGTTCTTTCACCCACCTCCTCTGGCTGTGACTGCTGTCTGGAAGAGGCAGGTCTTTGTGACAGGGGCAGATGCACTTGAGAGCTGTGGTTCTTGATGGGATTGAGGATGGCATTGGACTCCCCCAGGAGTGTTTTCAGGTTACACTCCCCAAGCAACTAATAGGATGCCCATCCTGTTTACAGTTCCAAGTTTTGGATTGGATTGTTGTTGTGCCCCTTTGTTATTGACTGTGCAGTTTTTACCCTGCAAGCGTCTTGTTTACTCACCTACAACATGTTAGTGGTACCCCACAGCTGCTTACATGTGTAAAACATGGCATGTTCTTTGTTATTCCCTTGTTGGTTCCTTCATTCACATCATCGTCATTATTATTACTTTTTTTACTTTGCTAAGTCCTTCATTGTTAGTGATGATGGTGACTATGAGGGCAAGCAGGAGCTAGCAAGTCATTGATTCATTTTATAGCTGAGAAGATGGAGTGACTAGTGTCTCATCCTCAGAATCAAGGAACTCCCTAGTGGTGGAGTTTCCTTCATGTAGCCCCTCTGTTGAGTGGGTGATCCGCAGAATGCCAGGCAGCCCCAAGTCTGGTTCAGGGTGGGGTGAGGTGAGTTGAGGGAGACCCCATTAGAATAGTCCTATTGGACTTCATCTTTCCTCCCTGGGTCGCAGTCAAAGCCCAGTTTCTAAGACTTTTAACAGGTCTTTGTGACTTGTACCCACTCAAGGTATTTGTTTGCCCCAAAGTAACCTTTGCTTTTGCTTTCTATTTTAGTTTCCTTTGTTTTCATACAGATTCTGGAACTATTTCACAACAACAATCAGGATGAATTTAGCAATTCTTACTATATTTAAATAAACCAAGAAATGGAACTTTTAAATGTTCCTACTTTTAGGGTTACTCAGAGCTAAACAGGCTTTCTTCAGAAGCCTGTTTATGAACATTGACTTTTCAGAGATATTTGTTATTTGAGGGATATCTTCAGGAGACACCCAGAAAGAGACAGTGCCCTTACAGAATTTTCAGACTCCAGAGCAGAGGTGTAGTAGGGAAGCTAGAGGGGCCACTACCTGATTTTTTTTGTCAAGCTTTTGAGGTAATAATGAGCTTTGGATTCTTTTTGGATTTTCATGACCCCTGTCAGGCCATGAGCAAAAGCTGTGTGTCAGTCAGGGCCCAGGCAAGTCACAGAAACTACACTGAAAATCTTACATAAAAAGTATGTGGGTCCTAGCCCCCAATGGCAGTGTGGAACCCCTTCTGAAAGATAGCAGTTAAGTATGGTTAACTTTTCCTTCTGCAGTGTCTCTCAAACTGTCATTTTTTTGCCACTTACTGTTGTGTTCCTTTGATGTGTAAACCCTCACAGTTGCCCAGTGCCCCTGCCCTAGAGACAGAAGTGTAGCCCACCAGCTACCAGACTCCCCATCCTGTCAACAGCTGGATCAACGCACTGTGCCCCAGCTGGTGATGGGAAAGTTGAGACAGGCATCTCCCGTTCTCTCAGGCTCACTGTCCCCATTCGTGGTGGATGTATGATTTCTGAAGGAAATCATACCTTCTGTGCTGGGGATAGGGAACATCTGTGCTGTACCTGGATTTGAGACAGGAAGCTCAAGATCAAATAGAAAGAGGTATTTTATGTTCAAAACCAGTCATTTCAAGCCATGTTCTCATTCATAAGTAAGAAGCTGATTCTGTTTATTTCACTTCAGATTCTTGTGCCTGGCATGAGATTTTGCTCAGAGATGCTGATTTATCTCAGATGCTGATTTATCAACATTATTGACATGTTGGACTGGATAATTCTCTGTTGTGGGGGGCTAAGTAAGCATTTTAGGATGTTCAGTAGCATCCCTAGCCTCTACCTATTAGATACCAGTAGCTCCACCCCCATTGTGACAATCAAAAATGTCTCTAGACATTAACAAATGTCCTGGGGAACAAAAGTGTCCTTTGGCATTTTTTTAAAGATTTATTAATGCATTCAAGAACTGGGGTATAGGCCAAAGGTGTGAGGCGTGAGAGGATTCACCAGAGACAGAGTGGGGAGCAGAACAGGTGCATTGACTGAAATACACTCCTGAGAAGAGCAGCAAGCAAGACAGGAGAGGTCTGCTGTGCCATGTGGGTCAGTTTGGCTGGGGATAGAAGTTGTGCTGCAGTGGCTGCAGATAGCTTCATAGGGCCACACTCTAACCCCTTGGGCTACCAGGGAGGCCCCCCCCTTTGGCTTTTTTGATTCCGTTGTCAAGATTTTCTAACAGTTGTTTTATTTTTCTCAGACTTCCGCTTGGCCCTAATTCAGCTTCAGGTTTCTTCTATCAAATCAGATAACCTCATTCGAGCTTGTGGCCTCGTCAGGGAGGCAGCAAAGCAAGGAGCCAAAATAGTTTCCCTGCCGGTAAGTTTGGAGGCAGTCACCCAATTCTGGAACATATGACCCTGCACAGTAACGTCTGCTAGCTTTGGTTGTCCCTTTTTGTCCTGAGATCCAGCAAGTCCTTTGGGGCCGCAGCACTGTTCCATGTTTATCTGGAAGATGGCCCTATCATTTCAGTAGGATATACTAACATGATTATAGGTCTTTAAGTTTAGAATCATCTGCTCTGTTTAGGATGTTAGTAGGTCAAGGGATTAATCTAAAGCTAAAATATTCAGTGCTTTGGGTATTTGCCTTCATTTCTTACCCACTTAAGTCTATTAAGTCTTTGCAGGACTAGAACACTGATTGTAGCACTAATATTTTTTTTTTTTAATTATTGAAAACTGGAAATGGCTAGAAACACTCAGGAAGCCTGTTAGGGACTGGCCTCAACACAGCAGGGGAGCAAGAGCTTCAGAGGTGCAAAACAGCGTCTGCATAGCTTGTATCAGAAGCCTGTTGTATCATAAAGTCAATAGAACAACGCTGGGTCACTTTTCTAAGGGATTTCTTTTAGAACAAAACCAGCTGAAGGTTGGACCATCTTTGATTGTCAGCAAGTAGCAGTTTTGTTTTCCTAATAGATCGCCATGCTGTTGAAGACAGATAAGCCCTGGGGAATAAGATTTTATAGCATCAGAATGAATGCAGAAAGGAAGCTGAGAAACTGCATTCTATAACAAGGACATTTCTTAACACCTTAGGCTTGAAAGTGGTCAACATTGGGGAAAAAATGAAATATCTTCTGTGGCCTTCAAAGCTTCTGAATTTTTCCAGGTTTAGGTTTTATTGATCTCATGGGTTCATCCAAATGGGCAAAGTCCTGTATGTAAGCTCATCTCTGGTGCATCCTGGGTGCCCAAGGTTGGAGATTTGTTCTCTTGCAGACTAGAGGCAGAGACAGGTCCAGCCTCTGCTTGGGTGCGCAGGATCTAAGTGAGCTAATTTGACCTGTCTGCTCTAGCCCACCCTGGCTCAGCTGCTGAGACCTGCCTGTGGTCACAGGCACTATTTAGTTGGTGGGTGTCACTGGTTTTCTTATCACCTATGTTTTTACTCCTTTGAGAACAGAGATGAAAAAACCAACTGTGCCTTCTTGCAGCAGAACTGTAAAACGGGCAGGGTATTTTAATGTTTCCCCCCCCCCCCTTTTCTCTGCCAACATTGTTCTAGGAATGCTTTAATTCTCCATATGGTACGACTTATTTTCCTGAATATGCAGAGAAAATTCCTGGTGAATCCACACAGAAGCTTTCTGACGTAGCAAAGGAATGCAGCATATATCTCATTGGAGGTAACTTCCTACTCTCAAGGTATAATGGCCTAAATTAAGTATTACAACATCTGAATAATTTTTGTTGTTACAAATAAAATGTAAACTGTGTTTTAGACATTGAAAAGAATGAGGTAGCTCTATCTGCAAAAATGTAGAAAGATCTTTAAGATCCCATTAACTGGGGTAAAAACAAGTTCAGTGTGATGTGCTTATTCAACACAAAGAGAGCTATGTATTTTTAGATACAGTTATGTACATAAAGACATAGTAAATAGTGTAGGACACATGCCAAGCTGATAGTGATGATTTTTTTTTTCCCCTAGAGAAGTGTGGGAGTACAGGAGCAGGTGGAACTGTGGCAAGAAAAACCATATCAGAGTTGCAGAATTTTTTTCCATAAAGCAAGCACATGCTTAAAGGTAGCTTTATATAGTTTTGAAATGAATTTTAGAATGTTCTGTTAGCTTAAAAATCTAGAACACAGAATTACTTCTATATTGTCATCCATCTATTTATGACTTAGAAATAAGTAAGAGGTAGAGAAAAGAAGCAGAAATAGAACTTCTTGGAACACCCTCTGTGATGGAAAAACTTACAGCTTATATTTCCATCTTGAGGCCTTGTTGAATAAGGTTCTGTTACAGGACCTGGGAATTTAAATTGAGGAACAGTGAATTATCCATGTTGCTCCAGTGTTAAAGATTTAAGTGTTGCTCAAGATTAAAACTGAATGTAGAAATGATTTGGTTGTTTTAGAACCTCTCTTTGATACCTGACCTAATTATATTTCATCTTCATTCTGGAATTTGTCTTTTAAAGATTATAGTCAAGAAGAATAATCATTAAATAATTGGAAGATTGTAAACTTTATTGGTGGACCTGAGTGAAAATGTATCAAGCCTTTGTCAAGTTATTAGAAAGGACTACTTACTCAGAATGTTTGTCTGTTTTTCTTCTCAATGAAGGCTCCATTCCTGAAGAGGATGCTGGAAAACTCTATAACACTTGTGCTGTGTTTGGGCCTGATGGAACTTTACTGGTAAAGCACAGAAAGGTAAGTAGGGAATGTGGTATGTCTCATTGCCTCTTGAAAATTTACTGTGATGTTTCTTATCCCTCAATCATTATTATACACGTGACAGTTGAGTAGGTAGTGGTTTTTCTTGGTTCCTGGGGGTCTATTCTATTGATTGCCTTTTCTTTGGAGTTTGGGCCACATTTTCCTATTTGTTTTTGTGTCTAGGATGGTGTTTTGAATACATATTAGATTATGCATCATTGAGATTCTAACTTCTAGTACTTGCTTCTGAAGAGCGTTGAAATTTTTTGTTTTAATAGGTTGTTTACTTGATGTCCTTTCTCCTTTATCAGTAACTAGCTATTTCTTTTATCTGAAGTTGATTAGCTTTAACTGGGCTGTTTAGAGTCTGCCTTACCCATCTTTAATTCAGAGATTAGAGTTGGGCAGTTAGACAGAGTTGTATGTGTAATTTAGGGTTCTTCCTCTTTGGCTTTCTTCTTTTCAGGATTTCCCCCATGGCTTTCAAGTTGCTTTGGAGCTCTTATCCTCTAGTTCTGCAAGCTGGGATCATTAGGGATTACTTTCACTACACTCATAGCAGCAATTAGACCTTGATTCAGACAAAAAGCTGTAAACAAATAGGAAACTCCCTTAGTGTTGACTTCCGTTCCAAGTGTTGACTTCCCTTCAGTTTTTGCCTGATTTAGCCATTTCTTATTTAAGGAGTTGTGCTTCTAATTTTGTCCAGAATTCATAGTTATCCATGAGGAAGCTGGTCTGGTAGAAAATACTTGGCCCATTGCTGGAAGAAGAGCCACACTGGGCTTACTAACCCAACTTTTTCAAGTATTGCATTTTCAAGTTCATAAATATGATATACTCCTGTGTTTATTTAGACTCTCTTTTTTAACTTTTCTCATATTATTTTTACGATTACTTTATTCTTAAGTGATGGTTTTGATAACCTTCCATTTTCTGTTTCTTGGTACTATAAAGTAAGCCACAACCATTTAAATATATTGATCTTATATATAACAATCTTTCTAAATTCATTAATTCTAAAAATGTATTCTTTCTTTAGAGTTTCAGGCACTCAGTTATATTATCTGAGACTAATGCAGATTTATTTTTTTTTTTTGATCCTTACACTTTTCATTTATTTCTTTTACGTAGTTGCTTTGGTAAGGACCTTTGATACAGTACTGAATAGCACTGTTCTTGATATCAGAGAGAAGGCTTTCAGAATTTCACAGTTAGGTACAATATTTGTTTAGATATTTTGCAAATGGTCCTTATGAAAATAAAAGGCTTCCCTTCCTAGAATTTCCTTGTTGGTTTTTTTTTTTTTCTTTTAAAGATTTATGTATTTGTGCATACAGAACTGGGGTACAGGCCAGAGGTGCAGGGGTGGTAAGAGAACTCACCAGAGAAGGAGTGGGGAGTAGAACAGGCCAACTGACAAAGTATACTGCTGAGGGGAACAGCGGTGGGTCAGAAGCGATCTGCTGTGCCATGTGGATCACCTCCCGGTCCGGGATCGAACTCATGCTAAAGTGGTTTTAGCTTCTTAGTGCTGTGCTTTAACCTGCTGCACCACCAGGGAGAGCAGGTTAAAGAGAATTTCCTTGTTTTTTAAAATAAGAATTGATGTAGAAGTTTAGGACATGCTTTCTGTCCATCTCTTAATATGAGTATTTTTTATTAGTATGGTGAGTTGCATTGATTGATTTTTCTGATGTTAAGTAACATTTGTTTTCCTTGAATAAATTCAATTTGCAAGTGATGTATTTTTTTTTCATGTATTGCTGCTTTTGTTTTGTAAGATCTTTTACCTATTTTTAATCACCTATTTTCTACCTTTCCTGCCAATGATTGAGTGTGAATGTGGTTCTGAGAAGTCTCTTGTTAGCATTTACATTGAGTATATTGAGAAAAACTTCTTGCCCTTGAGGCAGGCCCCTGAACACTGATTTGCATACCAGCTAGAAAAGAAGGGTCATTAAATGTACAGCATTTTTTTTTTTTTCAGTTTCCTGTACTAGAAATCATTTTAATAAGATGCCAGTCAACTTGTGGGATAGGTTGTGGACAGGTTGAGGGTGCTGGTTGTTTCTGTTTATCTTAGAGCATCTCCAGGTTTGGCCATGGAGAATTGTCTATTACTAATGCATGAACACTTCTGGAAAACAGATAAGCAGATTTTTTTTTTTTTTTTTTGTGATGCAGATCCATCTGTTTGACATTGATGTTCCTGGAAAAATTACATTTCAAGAATCTAAAATACTGAGTCCTGGTGATAGTTTCTCCACATTTAATACTCGTATGTACCATATAAATTCAGCTCTTTTAGCAGAGCCAATAGAAAAGGATTAGGTATTCCTTTGTTTTCCTCTTATGTCTTTACTTCATTCTTTACATAAATTGACTAAAAGGCCAGCGGTAAGAAGGGCAGAGAATTTGTCAGAGATCTAGAAAGGGTGGGCTGGGTGGACAGGTAGACCATGACATAATTTTCCTCTTCCATTTGATTACAGGCTCTTATTAATATGATAGTTTAGGCTGTTAGACTGTTAGACTGTGACTGAACACCTCTCATTTAGGTAATGAGAATTCAGTTAGAATGAATTTTTCATTTCTTCTGATGTAAAGGATACATTTATGAGGTGGAGTCCAAATATGAATACTAAGCTTATAAATTGTCTCCATCCATATGTTAATGTATCCCTATCAGTGTTTTGTGTTAAATCAGGGAGGTTCTTCCCTGCCACACCATGCAGCAGATGGTTAGCTTTTCACTTGTGCATTTTTTGTTGTGACAACAGCTTACTGCAGAGTGGGCCTAGGCATCTGCTACGACATTCGCTTTGCGGAACTTGCACAAGTCTACGCACAGAGAGGTGAGCACTGCCTTTGCATTGTATAAGTCCATGGAGGTTGGGTTCTGAGCCGCTCAGGCTGGGATAGAGAAGAACTGGAAGAGGGCTCAATATTCCTACCTCCATCTAGCTTCTCAGACTTTGATTGTGTATTAGGGTTGTAGTCAACACACCAGTCAGCCGAGGCAGGAGCTGTGTGCCAAGTGTCTGCTCTGTCCTTCAAGGCCTTCATGCTACAGTGTAGGAAAGAGTCACTCTGAGCCCAATAAACATGAAGACATGGTCTACCCCTCAGGAATTCCACCATCTGTAGTCCTAGTTGTGGAGTTCAGTACATGTGAAGCCAGTGACATTTTGGTCTAGAGCAGTCCTATGCTACTGTTCTGGCTGCCAAAGAGCCAAGTCAGAAAATCTGCATTCCGATTCCAAATCTTCCACTTACGTGGCACACTTTGGGTGAATCATTTAATCTCTCGTGCAGTGTATATTTCAGTTTTCTTATAGTAATGGTTCAAGGATCAAGGAGAGAGAACTTGTAAAGCCCCTCAAGTGGTACTCAGCAATTATTATTATCCCTATTGCTGAAGCTACTTCTGATTTTTATTTGACTTTCGCTTAAAGTGTATGCTAATGGCTTCACTGTCCCTTCAGCAGAAGGGGAGGGGGTGGGGATGATCCCTGGGTCAGCAATTTCTGTTGAGTTTTATCGTAAGTATTAGAGCACCTGTTCTGCCCCAGGTCAGTTTAAGAGCATTATAATCTTGGTCCTTGGCTGTGTGGAGTGGACTATATTGCTGAAAGAAATTTGAATGATAGTATTACACTTTTTAAAAGTGAACTACATATTGTGATTTTGGTCAAATCTTGTATGTCTGTATGTAATTCAAGTGTGTGTGTGTGTTTAAAATTTATTTATGCTTACAGAACTGGGGTACAGGCCAGAGGTTCAGGGGTGGTGAGAGGATTCACCAGAGACAGAGTGGGGTGCAGAACAGGCAGATCGATGAAGTACACTGCTGAGGGGACCAGCGGGCGGGTCAGGAGAGGTCTGCCGCACCATGTGCATCACCTCCCGGGCGGGTATTGAACTCATGCTGAAGTGGCTTTAGCTTCTTAGTGCTGTGCTTTAACCCGCTGCACCACCAGGGAGGGCCCTCAAGTGTGTTCTTATAAAAATTCAGAGCTGTAATATAATGCTGCTGACATAGTGACTTGACTGATGTCTTTTTATGCTTGGGAAAGTTTGAGTTTGGTCCGCACTAGCTACAGAACAAAGGGAGGGTCTAGCGTGGCTGGGTATTCATTCTCTCCACTCCTCGGCTTTTCTCTCCATAAGACTGCCAGTTATTGGTGTATCCTGGAGCCTTTAATATGACCACTGGACCAGCTCACTGGGAGTTGCTTCAGCGAGGCCGGTAAGAAAGCATCTCAAGCATATCTTCAAGTATTTCAGTGCTTCTTTGTGGCAGAATTTCCAATTTATTGGCAGTACCAATCTTCTTGACATGCCCTAGCTCCGGGTGCCCTGACATTAAAATTGATTTGGAAAAGATGAATTATCACTCAGCTGATTCTGTGCTGCTCAGATTGTGTTTCTTGCACTACCCTGTCCTCCACATCATTCTGCATGGAGATACTTTGTCAAGAAACTCTTTGTAATCCCTTGTTTTTCTAACCTATAAGCCCTGGACACTGTATAGGAATCATTGGCTTGTCAGAGTTGTGGTTTTCTTAGTTCCCTATGACTGAGGAGTGATGAAAGCAGGAAGGAAAAGAGTGTGAGTGTGTGTAAAGTGCCTGGCAAACCGTGAAATATTCATCAGTGATCATGGTTTTCTTCATTAAATCTTTTTCACTTGAGGTATAATATATTTACAAAAAAAGCACACAAGTTTTAAGTCAGAAGTCAGTGAAATTTTAGATATGCATTTACCTACAACCAAGATCTACATAAAAGAAGTTTATACTGCCTAGAAGCTCCTTTTTTCCTCTTCCCACTCAGTACTTTTTCTTGCCACCCAGAGCCACTAAAGATGATGGTGATTTTTTTTTATAATAGTTTATTTTTACATCATTTTGTGCATTTTTTCATCTCAGATGTAAGATGATGGTGATTTTAAAAAAATTATATAATAGTTTATTTTTACATCATTTTGTACTTTTTTTTTTTTTTTTAATCTCAATTGTGATCCTCGTGGGTTTCCCATCACCAAGTCACCCATGTGCCATCACCACAGTCCCGTGCACTTGATGGTGATTTTTATTGGAGCAGAAAGTAGAGGCTTTTCTTTGTGAGGGGAAAAGTGGGCTAGGGTATATGATATCATGAATATTAATAAATGCAGTCTTTTCAAAAGCAAGAGGTGGTTAGAAGGCACTAGGATGATGTAGCATACATCTTGTTGGGCCCCAAGAACTCCAGGTGAGGTGGCGTGGTGTACCTGGGGTGCCACCTGAAATTCTTACCTGATTTGAGATAATGGGACTGCCACCACTGGCTTGGCAGTGCCATGCCACCCTGCAAGGTATATTGCCCCATTGAGGTCAGCCCTCTGGCCTCCCTAACAAGCCTAACCGGAAAACTTTGGCTCCTTTACATGTTAAAGGTTGGCTTAGGCCTGAGTCTCCCAACTGTGGAAATATTGATGTTTTGGACAAAATCATTGTGTTTAGCAGTTTCCCTGGTCTCTACCCACCAGGTAAAATAAAGTATGTCCTGGAGAGTTAGAAAGTTCTCCAGATAACAGCAAATGCCTTCTGTTGGGTAAAATTGGTCCTAGTTAAGAACTGACTTAATGCAGTAAGATAGTTTTTGAAGAGAGGGTTCCATGCCTTTGGATGTTGTCTTCCGCATAAAAGAATGATATGTTCATGGGATAGAAAAGTGCTGCAGATCTCTAATGTATGATTTACCTCTTTTCTGTCCTTCGTGTAGTGCTGTTGATAATCAGGTATACGTGGCCACGGTATCTCCTGCCCGGGATGACAAAGCTTCCTATGTTGCCTGGGGACACAGCACCGTGGTGTCTCCTTGGTGAGTTTGACTTTGTGGGTTTAGGCTCACTAGGACCTCCAGAGAGATGGTGCTTAGGCAGGCAGGCTGTTGTTTCCTGAACAGCTCTGCTCTTCCACTCCACCTCCCTCCCCTCCCAGGCCTCTACGTTTTGCTGGAGAAGCTTCTACTTGAAACTCTGGAGAAAGAAATTTCTGGAGAAAGAAATTATCTTGCTCTTTGGATTAGCTGTTTGATCTTAGCCCTCTTCTGGGTTTTTAAGTACTTTTACTGTTAAGCAGATGTGGATCACACAGCAGTGATGGGGGTTGGGGGGAGGGTGGATTATTAAAAGAGGCTCCCAAACTCCTCTTAGCTTCAGGTTAAAATTTAAACTTTAAACGGGGAGTAACTCCAGGAGTTACAGGGTGAGGATTTTGCCCCCCACACATGATTAAAGTTGGAGGGCGAGGGGGAGTTGAGTTCAGTTGAAGAAACCTGTGAAACGAGTCCTTTGTGAGAGGGCTGAGCATTTTATTGTTCAGTGAAACTAACATGAAAGTCTCAATTTCATATACACTTAGAGTCATGTTGATTTACTGTCTTTGATCTACTGAATTTGTAGAGTGTACGCAGCACATACATGATATCAGTTTAAACTCTCAGAGATTTTTTTCTATTTAAGCCCAGTTGATAGTGGTGGACTTCAGGATAAAGAAGCCAAAATGAACTTGTAGTCAACAAAGACTTTGACTTGGAAATTTAACATTCATTCCATACTACTTCAACATTCGTATGATTTTACACACACACACACACACACACTGATATAATTTCATGATAAATATATCAATAACAAGACTGAAAATGGTTAAATGTCACTGTTGGGTCCCTAAAAGTTGTGACTTTAGAGATTCCAAAGATTAAAGTGTGTGATAGGGGAAGCCTTAGAAAATACAATCAGTAGTAGATATGCCTAGTGAGCTTCCTATGCATAAGGTTTGGGGGCATTGGAGGATTAAGTTGGCTTGAGAAATTTTTCAAACTTGAACTTTCTCTGTTTAGATGCTAATGATGACTTTCTGGCCTTTTGAGCAGCCCTACTCCCTCACTAGTTCTGATGAAATCTTTCTCACTGATCAAGCTGGCTGTTGCTTATGTGAAGTAGTTGTGTAAAATTTACTTAATTTCTTCCTATTTAGAATTCCATCTGTAGGGTTTGGGAACCCTCTAGCTTAACTGACTTTACTGGGATTGATGTCTGAGGTTAACACAGAGAGAGATCTTTGAATGATAGGGCAAATGGGAAAGAAATAGTAAAGAATCGAAAAGGGGTCAGTTAAATTGCATCAGTGATAGTGTTTGTAGCTTATTTGTGCCAAAAATCTGTGGCCAGCAGGGAAAGGAACCAGTTATTATGTCATATTAATTTATTTTATTCCTTGGAAAAATTTCGGTTTTAATTTTAAAGCCCTGCTTTAAGCCCACATGATTCAACACTGGAAAGTTTTGTAGATCAGCCTTTCTATAAATTTATGAAGGGGCATTTCTGTTTCTGAGTGAAGGGCTTATGCCAGAGGAGCTGAGCTCCTCTTACCACTTCTATCCAGCCCCAGAGGTTGAAATCTTGCCCTCAAAAACTGAGACCCACTAACATGGTATCATCAGCAAAAGACCAGAGGTCGCACAGTCCTTCCCATGCCTGGCCTTGCCATCTCCAGGTGATAAAGAAGCAGAACCAAACCACTCTTGTAAAGGGCCTTGCTGACTTGCACTCCTTTAGGGCCAGGATGGAAATTCTGTTGATTATAGATTACTCTATTCTCAGATGTTTACACAGAATGTTTACACAGAATAGTTACCATTTCCTAGCAGTTTTCAGTTTATAAAACGTACTCCATAATTTTCTCACTAACTTCTCACAGAATTCTTATTTTCACTTTGTAGTTTAGGAAATGGAGATGACAGATGATTTGCCATAGGGCCAAGAATTACTTAAAAACTAGAACAGAAAATTACATCTCTTATTTTAAAGGTTAGATTCTTTTCCCTCTGGTCTGTGCAGTGGACAGGAAAAAAGAGGTATCTTGAATATCAGCACACATTTAGTGATCCACTCATCTTCAAAATCTTTTGCAGGGGGGAGGTCCTTGCCAAAGCTGGCACTGAAGAAACCATCCTGTATTCAGACATAGGTAAGATTTCACTGGCTCCATTTAGGCCTCTGGTGTACCCTTTGCCTTGAGGCTAGGTTGCATACTTGTGACATCCATGTCACCTGGAGGGATTCCTTTTATTCTCCCACCCCAGTCTCACCCCTAACTTGTCCAGTTTTCTTTGACATGACTCCTGGTGCAATGTTTGGCCATCTGTGTGTGTCTAAACAAGGGCTGTATTGCTGAATTACTTGCTGAAGCAATAGTGTTTTTTAATACCGTTTGGGGGAAAAAATCCCCAGTTATGATTGATTGAAGAGAAACACAAATATTTATTTGGGAGTTAATATTAAGACTACAGCCTAGGTGGAACCATATTGCCCAAGTTGGGAGTTGTTATATGTGCAAAAAAGGTGGACTAATTCACACTTTGGTATGCTCTATGCAAATGATATTTTCAGTCAGATAGTTCTTCAAATGTAAGCGGTGGTTCAACTTCTCAGGAGTAGCCTGGGCATGGCGAAACATGCTAGGGAACCTGGATGTGTTTAGGGCTGGGCCCTCAACAGCCTCCAGCTCTATTTTATTTACACACGCTCAAAAGACTCCAAAATATTATACTTAAATTTCTTGTCATTTGGCCCTTTTCATTGAAATCTTTCTGCTGGAAAAGCATTGATCATCAATTCAAAGAATTCCAAGTTGCTGGCATAGACTTTATCCTAGAAAGCCAGTATTACATCTTATTAATAGAGCACTTTTCTGTCTTTGCAGACCTGAAGAAGTTGGCTGAAATACGCCAACAAATACCCATTTATAACCAGAAGCGCTCAGACCTCTATGCAGTAGAAGCAAAAAAGCCCTAGGGTTTAAGTTTCCAACATGTCATGAAATAGGAAGATAATGATTCTACAACATAATCACCGCCTCCCTGTTAAATTGTTTAATGGAGATTTTTTTTCTTCTTTTTAAAATTTCAGCCTTTCCCCTTCCTGGGAGTTCTCTATTGAGATGATAGGGTGTCAGCACACTGAGTGTGTCAACATCACGTTAAATGGTTTTAGGTGGCATTGAGTGGGGTGGAGGGACAGCTCTAAACCTCTTGAAGTTAAGTTGCTTCAAGAAGTTGGTAAACGTAGCAGGTCTTGGTATCCTGGTAATTCTTTAACCTAATATAACTGTTTGTACCATGAACTTCTTATCTCATTGCTGCAGCTGGAACTCCTTATGTAGAAAACTTAGTCTGGTGCTAGTCTTTTTCAAGCAGTAGCTTAAAGTTAGATGTTTGGTCTATGAGTAGTATGGGGAAGCATGGTGATAGATCTTTGGTGTTTGCAAAAGGAGATGACAGCCCTACCCTCCTCACGACTTACGGTTTTCAAATTGATGAGAGAGATGTTTCAGCTTTAGACCCTTTAGAGTTAGGGGAAAGACTGTACCAGTGATGTGCCACGTAGGGAAATGGCAGTGGGTGGACATTTGGTCAAGGTAACTAAAGTGTGAATCTTTGCAAGTTTTTTTTTTTTTTTTTAAATAGGGGTGTCTGAAAGCCTTTTTCTTTTTTCTTTTCTCCTGAGAAACACTTTCTAGTTTGGTAAAGGCAGGTTTTCAGTCTAGTGGTTTTCAGAATCCTTTTGCATAATTAAAAATTAAGAATTCAAATGAGCTTTTATGTAATAGTTACTGATGGGCTGGTTAACATTAACAACCAAAGGAGGGATTAATAAAAAGTACTTTAAGAAATAATGACTGATAATGTTCTAAATTTGGTGAAAACTTTAAACCCAAGACCTAAGCATTCAAGATTACAAGGACTGGCAAGTACAAGAAACATGCACAAAACTACACTAAGAATGTAATCAAATTAGGTAAAAGTAGTGATAAAATCTTAAAAGGAGAAAAGAAAAAACATTACATAGAAAAATCAAAAGAATAACAGTAGAGGAATCCGAAAGGATGGTAGCAGAATGAAGACCAGGGTTCATCTCCAAAGAGTAGGATAAAGACCAAAAATATCCTGGGGGAGAAAATTGTATAACCACAGCATACACCAGAAACAATGGTTTGGCCGGAAGGGATAGGAAAAACTCAGTGATACTAGGGCAGCACAACCCACACAAAGGAGGGACTGCTGCTGTGCTGAGCCCCTTACAATTGCTGACTTGTGTACAAGCCAATATGGGAACTCTTCAGATTTGGCACCGCACTTGGTAAGGGGTGTGTGCACTGCATCCAACGCTCAAAAATAGCATGGGGGAAGCAGACATGGGACTCTAAGAGACGCTAAGACCAAGGAGCTGGCCTAGAAGAGGGGACCAGCATAGACCCCTCCCACACAACTCTTGATAGTGATAGCATAGTAGAGGCTTGAATTTTTTTTTTTTAAGATCTACTTATTTATTCATACAGAACTGGGGGACAGGCCAGAGGTGCAGGGGTGGTGAGAGGCTTCACCAGAGACAGAGGGGGGGCAGAACAGGCCAACTGATGAAGTACACTGATGAGAGGAGCAGTGGGCGGGTCAGGAGAGGTCTGCTGCGCCATGTGGTCACCTCTGGGGCAGGCGAGGATCGAATTCATGCTGAAGGGGCTTTAGCTTTTTAGTGCTGTGCTTTAACCCACTGTGCCACCAGGTAGGACCCGAGAGCTTGAATTTTTGATGTACACTGGTGACCTTTTGGTGTCCTGACACCTCCAGCCCTGTTTTATACCAGTTACCTCTCACTGGTAAATTCTCAGATTACTGCCCTATCCCTATTGTCTACTTTGTAATGAGTTAGGCAGATGCGCTTTGGCTTACTATCTTTTAAGTTTTTGTCGCATGTTGGGCATCTCCACCTGAAGTTTATATAAGATAACACACTTAATTAACAAGAGATTCAATCTCTGCATAGAATAAGCCACAATGCGTGGTCATGAAAGCGCTGACTTTGACCTTGCTATTTCAGGTTGAGTGCTAACAGATAATGGGTGCTAACATTTGTTGCAATGAACAGATTAACATTACGGGGTTTGAAGACTGAACAGTAATAAGATTGTGACGTGAAGTGAGTATTTAAGGAATTTCCTGTTACCAGAAGTTAGGTCTATGTGAAGTAGACCAAAGGAAAAGGGGATTAGACAAGAATTTAGGTCTCAAGATGAAAGTTCTGCTTTGGTGGCACTAGCTTTAAATTTTATGCTACTTAAAGCACTACTAGAAGATTTTGTTGGAGAGTAGGTATGATGAAGTGAGCAGATGGTAAAGTGTAGTCTCAGGTCTGCACTAACCAAACACTGCCACTGTGGCTGGCTTAACATGGGCTCTTCTCCTTAATGCCCTGTATCCAACCTGTGTTTCAATTTCCTACTTCGTGTATTATATTAATTTTATCTCGAGTAAAGACTGGAAGCTAAGTAAAAGCAAGCTGTTGGAAGATAATGAACTTTAGTATTAAATGGCCTTCCTATAAATAAGTTAAAAAGTTAAGCCACACCTCCTCGGTGGCGCAGCTTGTTAAAGCACAGCACTAAGAAGCTATAGCCACTTCAGCATGATTTCGATCCCCACCCCGGAGGTGACCCGCAAGGTGCAACAGACCTCTCCTGATCCCTCCTCACCCTCGCTCTCCTCAGCAGTGTACTTTTTCAGTCGGCCTGTTCTGCTCCCCACTCTGTCTCTGGTGAAGCCTCTCACCACCCTGCACCTCTGGCCTGTAACCCAGTTTGGTATGCATAAATAAATCTTAAAAAAAAAGTTAAGCCCCAGATCTAGTCAGGTAAAACATACAAGGACAGTGCTTGTTCAGTGACTACTTAACAGCTGGTTCATATTCACCAACTGAACAAAGATGGAGCATGATTGGCAAGATACAGTAATAATCTGTTTATACTCTGGTTCTTCCTGGAATATAAGACCTCCAAATACATTTCTTTGCACTCAACTTTTATTATTCTCAAAGTTTGTTGAAACAAAAGCCACACGTGTCATCCTGTTGAACCTCATTTTTTCCACTTAGTTTTTCAGTCAGTTTTCAGATTCTTATAGCCAGATATGCCTTCAGCATTCCATGACACTTCTCTGGAAATTGCGTTTACTACTGATGTGTTTGCAGACTGCTCTACAACATTAATGTGACTTTGGTCTTATCTTTCTTCACTACCTGCTTCTTAGATGTTGATGTTTCCCATAGTGTTTAATCCTTTCTAATTTTATATATTGAATTTAGGTAATCCCAGTACAGGCACAGTCTTATATATATGCTACTTCTCAAGTTACTGGCATCTGTCTTCTCACTGGTTAAGAAAAAAAACTTCATCCACTAGACCCTCACTTGAATGGCTTGTTTTCTGCTCACTCAATATTCCTGCATGTAGTTTCCTTTAATAGTTCACCTATCTTCTAAGAAAACTCCTTACCTACAGCCCATTTATCTCTAAAATCCTAGTTGAATTTATTACTCATGTGTTTCAATTCTTGTGGCATATAACTTTTGATTATGGCACCAAAGCTATGATCCTAGTTTGCAGTTTTTGAGGCCTTTCTCTTCATCTTTTCATGGCTATTCCAGGTCCTCAGTAAATGCTGGGCATGAATGGATTCCCAAAGGTTGCAGTTGTACAGATGCCAAGTTTCCTGACTGTAACTTTCACTTATTCTGAAATGATATTCTTACTCTAAGAGATTCCAGTCTGGTCAGATTCTCTGGCTTGTGTCCATATCCAGTTTCTGCCAGTGGTTACAGTGCCTTTTCTGTCAGAAACCCACTTTTGCAAGGACATTTGTGATTACCTTTGGAGTTCACCCAGGTAATCAGGAATAATTTTTGCATCTGAAGATCCTTACCTGAATCATATCTGCAAAACTTATTCCTATATTATGTCCAGTATTCCCTATTTTTGAAGTTTGAGACTAAAAGAGAATATGAATTTAACTGATCATGAACAAATAACCTATTTTCCTACTTAAAGAACAAATAGAAAAGCTCGAATGTAATATTTATTTGGTGAATTTACATGTGAAGTCATTTACAAAAGAAAAGATACAGACAGATGCAGCTCTCAGTGCAGTTTCAAATATTTTTCAGAACAGGCAATAGTCCACGAGGATCTGGAATGATATTGAATGGCACATGCTTCAGTTTCCCTTATGTGTGTTTCTACCCAATCCAAGGGGAAGGAAGAGTAGAAGAAAATTATCAGTGTTCATGTAAATACAGCCATGCAAATAAACCTTTTTGTTAAGTCAAAGATTATTCAGAGATGCAGAACACTTTTGTATTGGGGTTATTATAGTAGGTGCACAAAATAAACTAAAACGCAGAGCTCTCAAGCTTCCCATTATCTAAGTCATTTTAAATTATGTTAATTGCCCCAATAATTAGCAGTTTTCTCAGTATTTTTTAGAATGACCTTGCAGGGGCTAGTTATTTCTAACAGTTTCTAAAAAGATAGCATTTGTAGTCAAAATCTTTTTGGTTTCAGTAGGATAAAGCACCCTTTTAAAGAGGGGTAAAAAGCTTCTTTACTCCCAGCAATGTAAACTCTAATTATTCATTTCAGAAATATAACTGCTCTTTTATCATACTTTGACTTACAAATATGTGTTAAGAGTGGTCTAGACAGTGACAACTGGGGGGGAAAAAACCCTAATGTTTTCTAAGGAAGGTGAGGTAAAGATAAAATGAATAAAACTAAACAAAAATCAGTTGTTAATATTGCTAGTGAAGACATGGATGGGGCAGTCAGGCCATGCCATAGAAACAGATAAATTCAAAACTTATAAAAGCATTCCACATATCCCCAGTCTGAAAATACTGACTCAAAGCTCCTGCAATACATGTAGCTGTAGTTGGAGCACTAAACTTGTCATTTCAGGAAATACTATGTTTCTGGCTCCAACAATTAAGATCCTTTGAACCTTTACTCACATTTTTTTCATTAGAAATTTTAAGCCAATACACCCACATATCACACTCCACATTTATATATACAATCAGCTTGCCTGTTCTCTAAAAAGTACACTATTTGATAGCAGTACTTATTAAAGAAAATAGCCATCAGCAATTATAAATACATCTATTTCATCTTACCTCTTTGCCTAGTTCATTCTTCCATTCATACTCTTCCAGCACATAGGTCAATTTTAATATTTTGCTTGCTTCTGCATAATTTACTGTATGAAAAACCAGCTGTTGTAGACTAAGAATGATGACTAAGACTAAGAATGATGGACATTATCCATTAGAGTTGAAGGGATCAAAAGATTAAACAGTTGCCACTGAGTTTCTAACATTCTACAGAATCAGAGGCACTATCCATGTTGACAGTGGTTTAGAGGGGCCCTCAATTTTTCTGCCTTAAAATCTGCCCCTTTAAGCTTTGTTTTTATCAAAAAAAAAAAAAAAAAAACCACCCTAAAAGGGATTAACTGAATCTAAAAGACACCTGTTTTACAGCACTTATTATGTTAATTTAAAAACAACATACTGTAAAATATCCCCACACATATACAGATTTATCCAGAATATAATTTACCCATTTCCATCAAAAAAAAAAAATAATAATAAAAGCCAGATCAACAAATCAAAGTTTTTATTTGCATGGCTGACTTTCATTTGTACTCATTGCAACTTTAATATCCCTTTAAGGTTCTATGCTTTTGTTGTCCAAAGAATAAAAGCTGCCATACTTAAAATTTCCTTCAACAGCCACTCCCACACACCTAAACATGAAACAGATGTAACAAGTGACAACAGCACAAACGAAATACTAAGTTCCACCATTCAACACAGTCCATGACAGTGTCTTTAGGGTTCTGCTGAAGAGGGGGGTTAATTTCTTCTAAAAAGAGGGTCATTTTCCTCCCCACTCCACCCCTGTTTTATAATGTTGGTGGTTTTAATCCGTATTTCTTTGCAACTTCTGTCTGGGCATGGGCAGCATCACAGAGTGAGTACAGATGAGCCATCTCCATTTCCGATTTGGCCAGGTTAATAGCCTTGTTGAACATGTCAATGGCTTTCTCCATGTTTCCTCTAAAATAACAAAAATTTTGTGTCTTAGATTTAATAAGCACTTCATGGTATGCAATTAAGTTGATAAGCAGTGCTACGCACAGTCTCATCACTAAATTTCAACTAAAATGTTTATAACAAAATAGTGCCTTGCACATAGAAACCATTCAGTGAATGTTAGCTACTATTACAAATGTTATGTGCTCATTATACCTCTCTGTTGTTTTCAGATAACTAAATAAATGCCTTTGAAAATCCTAATCTAGTTCCTAAAGACTGTGTGTTTACATTATATAGTGAACTTTCTAATTTGAACAACAGTAACATAGTCTCAAGAGAGTATTACTGGTATTCAGAGGCCTTTCATTCACAAATTCTGTTCGAGCCCCCCACTTCTACCTCCCACCCCATTCTTCCATCCCATCCTTACTCCTGGCACACAGGTTTCCCTAAGTTCCTTGATTGTGCCACATACTCAAACCTGCACATAATACTCACTTTATTTACTGCCTCTCTGCCAGACTCTATTCAAATCCATATCTTTCTAATAAGGCCCAGTTCAAATACAATAAATACCCAGTAGTATTTCCCTCCCCATAGTTCCCAAATTTTATTTGTTTATACCACAAACTAACTAGATTTTTTATTAAACATTTCTCAATTCCCAGAATCCAGTATAATACTTGGTAATTTGTGCGTGTGTTTTGGGTAAATGGATTACTTGCCTATCTAAAAAAAAAATGATCTGATCTCTTTTTTTTTTTTTTTAAGATGTATTCATTTTTTGCATGCAAGAACTGGGGTACAGGACAGAGGTGTGGAGGGTGAGAGGATTCACCAGACACAGAATGGGGAGTAGAACAGGCAGATCCACTGAGGAGCACTGCTGAGGGGAGCAGCAGGTCAGACAGGACAGGTCTGCTGTGCTATATGGGTCACCTCTGGGGCAGGAGATTGAACTCGTGCTGAAGTGGCTTTAGTTTCATAGGGTGTGCTTTCACCTGTTGCGCCACCAGGGAGGGCCCCTTATCTGATCTCTTAAAGTCCAAGTGTAGTCAGGTTTATATATTTGCCAAGAACCAAGAGCTGTTTTAAGTAGCTAGTATTAGTGATGCATGTATGTATGTAGTCTTAGGACAAATGTGTATTAATTCTCCATTACATGCCATTTAGACTCTAGGAAGTAGAATGTATCTCTGGGGTGACTGTACAGTATACAGGGCAACGTGATATTAACAACTAAATTTAGTTCCACGTTCAGTTAGGTAGGATGGGGATTTGCTAAATCCTAGGATAAGCAATTTAGACTTCTTAAAATACAATTAACATATGAACAAAATGCATGAAATACCACAAACTGGGTTCTTAACCCAGTCTTTATAAGAACACTTTAAGTGTCATGTGCTTTTTTTTTAAAGATTTATTTATTTGTGCATACAGAACTGGGGTACAGGCCAGAGGCTCAGGGGCGGCAAGAGGCTTCACCAGAGACAGAATGGGGAACAGAACAGGCAGATTGATGAAGTACACTGCTGAGGGGAGCAGCGGGCGGGTCAGGAGAGGTCTGTCATGCCATGTGGTCACCTCGGGGCAGGCGGGAATCGAACTCATACGGAAGTGGCTTTAGATTCTCAGTGCTGTGCTTTAACCCGCTGCACCACCAGGGAGGGCCAAGTGTCATGTGTTTTTGCAAGTGTATTCACTATTCTATGAAAAATTCAATTTGACTCAAAAAGGATTAAGAACCATTATCCCTTTTCTAGTAGAGAATATTTTATTCATAATAACAAATTGGCAATTAAGTAATAATTTAAATTTATATGCAACTGCCAGTATAAAGTGGTTTTAAAAAACTTTTCATCAGTTTTATAGGTATGTTCTGCTTCACTGGGGCAAAAAACCCAGTGATGGAATTAACACAACCACCACTGGTTGCAGACAAGTGATAATAGTAAAATGTTATTTTGGTATCATGAAAATGGGCTTATGATCTGTTTCTACTATTGGCTCTCTGTATAACTTTAATTTAACCAGTCTGCCATCAGTTTTTATACTCTTCAATCATACAATCTCCATCTTTACAAAGATTGTGGTAAAGCTCAATTGAAACAATAGTTGGAAAAACACCTAACGTTCAGTGCCTGGCCTAGAGTAGGTTCTCAAATGATGGGAATGCCACTGTTAAGACAGTATACAATACTAAATTCCATGGCATAAACAGCTGTCACCTACTGATGCTAGATCTCAAAAGCATAGAAAACAAGAGTTGCAAAAAATCTATTACCTGACCTCCTTGTTTTAAAGCTCAAGTCAGACTATGTTCTGACTTGTAGGTGCTTGGCTCTTTGCTTTTGGATAACAAGATCTACCTACGTCTTTGGCAACTTGGCTACCAATACTCATGCTACACTGCAACACTTAAGCACACTATAGGTGCAGACAGGAATAATGCAGGTGAAAGAATAAAGAACAAACAAGATTGAATGTTCTTTTCTTATTCATGCTTGATACAAACTTTTGAAAATAAAATTTTAAATTACAAGAGTAAGAAATAAGGCAAATGAAAATTGTGTAGTTTTGTGGGAAATTTTCCTCAAAATGTCTGACATATTAAGACTAAAATGTTAATAATACTGACTTGAATGAAAAAATAAGTATCTATAAAATTGCCTTAATTTTAATAAAAAGAGACTCTAGAAGTTACCTTTGTACTTCAATAGTTCCCATGGTTTCATAGGCAAAATCACATTTATTGTCGATCTCAATTGCCTTGCTGATAAGCTCCAAACCTCTATCCAGATCTTGCTTCCACTGAAGTTGAAGTAAACTGTAAATAAAAAGATAATCAGATGGGAGCATGGCCCTAGATCAGTATGAGGCTCAATTTCTGCCCTTAATGAATTTGTAAGGAATCCCACAATCTAAAACAGTATATAATCAGGAACACTTTTTTTTCAATGTATATTGGTTTTGTAGTCTACATTCCTTATTATGAGAAAAATAGCTTAGGCTCTATTACTAACTACTTGCATAGTTACTCTGTATAAATTTAAATGAAATTTTATAATTTTTAATTCAAGTACATAAGGATAGGAAAAACTTAATGTATTTCTATTTTGATACAAGGAACAAATATTTGACAAGCTGTTTAGAACTGAAACAAGTGAAAATAGTGTATTTACTAATTGCTATATAAACATGAAATGTAAGTAAAATTTTAAGAATAGTGAAATATCTACAGAACTAAGAAGTTGCCAGTTCACTGTTAACTTTTAGCTCTCTACCAGCTGCTTCCCCAATGACCAGATGAAATTCATCTTACTACTACATACAAGAATTTAGTTTTTTACTGCAACAGAGCCCCCAAAATACATACCCTTTATGAACATAAGTTGTAGCATTATCTGGTTCCAAATCAATACATTTATCATACATTTCATCAGCTTTACCAAACTGCTGTTGATCTGTTAATGCCTATGTGAGGAGACATGTCAGTTATATTAATGTAACTACTAATGTAAGCAATTAAATGTATGTTGCTTATTAACTATCAAAATTTACTTCATTCATTCATTTATTACCAAATTATGATGTTTTGGGGATATAAACTTATATTCATGCAATAGCATATATATAAATTTCACTCATGGCATCAATTCTAATAGATAGAATCATGTCACTTATAATTTACCATAATACCTCCTAAGGAAATTACCTGAAAGACCATACTCATTTGGAGGAGAAAGTAAAATATGTGAGTTAATTGTTATCAGTCATTTTCAAAAATTTTTGACAAATGAAAAAAATTGTTGCCATTAACTATTTCAAGGCACATTCAGTGGAAGAAATGGAAGGTTTAGTTCTATGAATACCAGGTCATTGAGAGTTAAAAGAAGAAAGTTCTATTTCTAGTTAAACAAAAATCAGAAGAGGGAACAAAGGGCAGAAATTTTAGTGCAGACTATAATACTAGTGCTGATTCAACAGTTCAAGTTAAGTCAAAGCTACTCTGAAGGTAGCACATGACAGAAACGTGCCACTAGGAAAAGTTCTACAAATAAATTTTTAGCATTGGATTCCTTAATAGTTATTTGCTTTTGCTCTTTGAGCTACTTATAGAATCTACACCATAAAATCCCTTCTGAACTTCTATGGGTATTTTCCATATCAACTGCATTTAGTAAAATTTCCTACAAGAATTAAATTTTGTAAATTCAGTCAAACATGAGAAAAATGATCTGCTTAAGTTTCTCTACATTTTAAGTTAGGGTCTTAATTTTCAAATTGTGTTAAGAGGTCCCTCATGAACCTGATTTAGAACCGTTCTGGTTGGTTAAAAGAATCAAAGCAGGAACAAAACCATCCACTTCCACAAAAGCTGCAACCAAGGTAGCAATGTTTCTGATTTCTACGTAGGGCTCAGCACACACATGTAATAATCTTAAAAAAGAAAAGAAAAGAAAAAAAAACCAAAAACACCAAAATTGACTAAAAATCAATCTTACCTGAAAAATCACACTTACCTGAGCATACAGTGCATATCCCTCAGCACACCTTGGAAATTTCTTTATGACTTCTTCAAAACCTTTCATAGCTGCTTGGATTTGTGAAGAATTGTTTCCTGTATATGCCTGACGATACTATTCAAGAGAAATCAAAACAAGCTGTCAAGAATTCAAAAACTCATGAAATGTTAATTTTATAAAAATCATTTGACACTATGCAAATATGATAACATAACTGACTGCATCTAAAAGGGTCCCAAAAAAGCTATGTACAATCTCATTGCCACTATACAATTTCAAGGTATTCAATATTTTAAAAGAGGGCATACTAACTTGTTACAAGTTAACTTTTCCATATAGATGGAATTTTAAATTTAAAATTTAAATCTATTATGACTTTACAAAGGACTTATAAAGTCTTTTCATCTAAAAGTGTTTCCTCCTTTAAAAAGAAAATTCTTATTATATTGTACACCTGAAACTAAGGTTTTATATCCATCACAACTAAATTATATGAAGGAAATTCTTTTAAAACTAAATACTAGGGCAAACTGAAAGTACCTCAGTGTTTCACCAGATAAGCACTTATTTTACCTGATTTACAGCCTTGTGTACCTGAATATTAAGAAATAGCTCTTTAAAGGTAAGGTGAGAGGAATTCTTTAGTGTTATGATTGAAATCATTCCCTCAAAATGTTTGTTCTTTTATACTGGGTTATGGTAGAAGCTCAGGGAGAACAGTGATGTCTAAGGGAGCATTAAGTCAGGGACAAACATTTGTGTCAAGATAAACTCAAAATAAAAACATCCAGAGAAATAAAGGAGTAGGAACTCATTTAACATACACATTTACAATTCTATTTTCCTAAACACATTTTCTTCCTATAGCTATCCATTCAGGAAGAAAATAAGAGGTTTTTTTTGTAGACAAAATAATCATTTTTGTTAGCAATGTGCAGTAATATTTAGGCAAATATTTAAAAATTAGAACTTACCAGTGCAAAACATTTCTGAGCCTGTGCCAGAGCAGATTCAGGTCTTAATCTAATACATTCGTCAAAGTCTGCCACTGCTTCTTCAACTTGATCAAGCAATATTTTCAGCTAATGAAAAAAACAATACATAATCTCAATTCAAAATAGAAAGTAAACCAGTTAAATACACCTATAATTATAGCATAGCATAATGTTAAATATACAAAATAATTATTCAATATAGGATTTCTAGAACAGTGAACTAGAATAGAAAAATCTTACAATTCTATAGGAAATATTCTAAAACTTTACGTAAGAAGCATTCTAAAACCACCTTTTTTTCCCTTAAAGATTTGTTCATATGTAAGAACTGGGGGTACAGGTCAGGGGCGTGGGGGTTGGAAGATTCACTAGAGACAGAGTGGGTAACAGAATAGGTGGACTGAGAGGAGCAGCAGGCAAGACGAGAGGTCTGCCGTGCCATGTGGGTCACACCCCTGGCCAGGGATCAAACTCCTGTGCTCCAGTGGCTGTGAATAGTGTAAAAGTGCCGCACTTTAAACCCTTGCACAACCAGGGAAGGCCCCAAACCCCATTTTTGCACTATAATTACGATCATTATTAAGCAAGAACCCCCTTCTGGAGTAATTTCCAGTTTCAAAGCAGATCATGCAACAAATAATGTGTTACTAATAAGGATTTTAAAATGTCAAGAATTTTAAAGGTTATCTCAACACTTAATATACATCTAGTTTTCACTAAATTTTTGGGTTTCTCCACTAGGTACTTAGCTTTCCTATTATTTGAATAACCCATATTTCCTATCATAATGCATTCCAAGCAGCAATGTTTCCTCAACGAGGCTGAAATTGCAAATTGGTTTTTTCCATTGTATATTTTTAGTGAAAAAAATATACATTTTATAAAACTCAATCCAGAGGATTTTTTATTGTGGTTTGATTAGGAATTAGTATTTCCTTGTAACAAGAAGTTCAACAAAAATCATTCTGTTGATTGTAATTTAACTCACCATAATCACAAAATATTTTTAATATTTTTACCCGCTGAAAATCTATGAGCCAGCAAAACATCTGAACTTGCAAGCCAACAATTTTCTATTTTTCCTCTAATACGACTATACCAAAAATTACAAGGACAAATGTTCAAGACGGACCTAAATGTCAACTTAAACCATAATTTCCAGTGGTACTTTGTTCCATTGGTAATACAAAACTTTAAAACATTCTTAAAAAATAATTATCAAATCCCTCTATCCAAAGGTGAAAGTCTTTAAAATAGGTTTACCTGTCCTCGGTGGTGATAAACATCTGCATTCTGAGGATCAATGTCAGCAGCCATGTTAAAATCCTGAGTAGACAGCAAAGGCTGCTGCTGCTGCATGTACATGCTGCCTCTTTTGATGAGTGCATTTGCTCGAAGCTACATACCCCAAATGAGAAGAGGTTCAACATTAGTACTTTTTATTCCAATTAATTTTTTAATTAACAGTTTTTTTGAGAGAGAATTTATATACCACAAAGTTCAACCTTTTAAAATGTACAGCTATGTTTTTACTATGTTTGAACCTACGTGTATTCTGAAGCTACCAGATACCGTGCCCCCCGTTTCCTAAGTAAGTCTCATTTTTATATTATAGTCACTGCACCAGTGATCACCACTGTCTGGAATTACTTTCAAAAACAAAAGTAGTGTTTTTGGAGAATGGTAACTGAGAAGTCAAAAATGTGTCAAGACATTTTTGACAAGTCTCATTTTCAAATTATTTTTTTCCAATGTACACATTTTAAAATGTACCTTCACATTAGCTTCTTTCAAACTGATGACCTTATCTAAATCTGGCTTGGCTGCATTGGCATTGCCAATAAGTAGGTAGAAAGTGGCACGTAGTAATAATGCTTCTGCCATGTATTTGCCTTGAGCATCTATTTCTTTTGAGCATTCACTTATGATTTTATCATAGTTTTCTTCTTCCATATACTGTTTGGCCTTTAAATATCCAGAACTGAAAATAAAAACAAACAGCAAATTATTTACTAAGGAAGGATCAGATGCTAACACTTGCCATAGTAAGTGTAACTGAGTTAAACAATTTTTCTTTAACAAGTCAATAAGCCAGTGTGGTAAAGATTGGGGAAGGCAGGGTAACAGATTAGTATTTTTGATGCAGACTGGAATCTTACTGATGCTTTAAAGGAGTCTTTAAAAGGACACTGCAGAGTCAATGGCAGAAACCTAAGATACCACCCAAATGTCAACACTTATGTTATGTAAAAAGATATGTGAAAAGATAAGCTAATGATGGTGATCTGAAACATGGGCAAGGATCCTGTCTTAAGTTACCATTATTAAGGTGCATTATATGGCACACTGATAGCACTGAACAACTTACTTTATGACTAACAGAAAAAATAGGAAATAATGAAGCGAATTTAAGGTCACAGAAACCAAGGGAGGAACTGTGACCTGAACTGTACTTGTAAAGATCCTCAATCCCTCTGGTTGTGATGTGGAAGACAGACTATACAGGACCACGACCGGAGAGGAAATATCTCAAAGGTTCTCAGCCAGAAATTATACTATTTCACTTAAAAGATCTAGAATGAATAGGTGGACATACCAAAACAAATTTAGAGGAGACTTCCATCAAGGACTTAAAAATCCACCTTCTTTTTAAAACTCAGGCAGCACTATTCCTTTAAGATTATGACTTACTGGAAATACTTGTAGGAGGATTATTTTTTTTTTTTTTAACCAAAAAGGAATTTACACTAGATAACCTTTAATGGGTCTTATAACTGCAAGGAACCGTGAAATATGTCTCATTTTGTTACATATTTTGAATAAAGGAAACTGGCAACTGACTGGTCAAAATTTTATAAACGACATGCTAACCTTTCTAACTACATTTGAATGTCTTCCTGCATTCTTATTTTGTTCTTCTGCTCACCATAGTAAGAAAATAGAATTCTTAAATCAGATTGGAAGTAATAATAGCTCCTACTTATTGAGAATCTAAGTGCCTGAAACTAAAAACAAGAACTTTACACCTCACAATAACCCTCTAAGGTAGGAGGTATCATTAGCCCCATTTAAAAACTAATGGATATTGGGCCCTCCCTGGTGGCACAGTGGGTTAAAGCATAGCACTAAGAAGCTTAAGCCACTTCCGCATGAGTTTGATCCCCACCTGCCCCGGAGGTGACCCACATGGCATGGCAGACCTCTCCTGACCCATCTGCTGCTCCCCTCAGCAGTGTACTTCGTCGATCTGCCTGTTCTGCTCCCCAGTCTGTCCCTGGTGAATCCTCTCACCCTCCCCATCTCTGGCCTGTACCCCAGTTCTGTCTGAATAAATAAATAAATCTTAAAAAAAAAAAAAAAGTGTTTAAAAACTAATGGATATTAAGGCTTAGAGTAAGGTGGAATTAAAACAATTTAGGTCCAATTCCAGTAAAGTGTGCTACTGAGAGGCAGCTGTGTCCCACCACCTACCTCTCAATATAGAATAATGATATGAACTTACTGTATTTTTTCTGGAACAAAGACTATTTCCTAACCAGAAAAAGAAATTATTGGCATCATCAACACAAAAACTACACAGCATCCTTAAACACTTATTCTCAACCACAATTTTCTGAAAAGACTTTTATTGAATTTTGAACATTATGGTACAAATATACAGTACCCTCCTTTAAAAGGTAGCCAACAAAGGTGGCAGAAAATTTGGGTGATAGAAATCTAAACAGTTTGTTTTTTCAATCATTCCAGTAAGCTACTAATGAAAAATTGTGCTACAGTAGCAATTTCTCTTTTCTCCCAAACTATTTAAAAATCTGACTTTGGTAATAACATTTCTTAAGAGAGTTAATTTTAACTGCAAACACAGGATTGATAAATATGAATGAGTCATCAGTTTAGACAGCTGATACACTATATTAGTCCATTTGATCTCCAGCTGCATTCTGTGCTTTGGTTTAAACTCCCTTAAAGCTTAAAGGAAGAAATACAAGAAGCACAAAATGGCATTTTCCTAGGCAAACAGGCAAAACCTTGATGAAAGTCACTCGTTTAGGCACTCCTAAATATTTCATAAATTATAAACTTCCCTATACCATAAAAACCTGGAGCTACATGATATTTCAAATGAATGCCCCTATCCAAGTACAGTCAACCACTTGACTCACTGGGAATCCTAGTGAGTATCACTCATGGCCACAAAAGCGGTGCAAGCCCTTCCTGGTAGCACAACGGGTTAGGACACAGCACTGCAAGCTAGCCACAAATGCGGTGCAAAATGCTGGTAGCAGGATTGAGATCACCAGAGAAATAACTCTCAAAATATTAGGCAGACTGACAAGACATATATAATAATCAATCTACATCTATTTTACCTATTTCTATAGATTTTTTTTTGAGATGTCTCAGGGCCCCAGCTCTCGGGCAGCAAGAAAAAACCCCAAAACCCCAAACATTTCCCAAAATATTAAGCAGATACTATGCTTGACACACTTACTTTTCTTTCACTTCTAAAGCTTCCCCTTCCTTATCTTTATCTTCATCAGACTTTTCTCCTTTAAGCATGGGCTGAGAAATTATATCATCCGTGAAAGAACTGAAATAAGATTTGATAAACTGTGGAGATGGCATCAGAGGTTCACGATTCTGAAATATAATCATATTTAAATATATCAAAATGAAAAAACACCAGAATCAGGTACATTTGTGGAACACTGAGATTACTATTATAAAAACTGGAATACCATTTTGAAGTAATATAAAGACTATTAGGCTCCTAAACATAGCATAAGAGAGTGGAAATGGTAAAGTTGTAAGTTTAGCTTTTCAAAGCAGGTTTTACATGAGTCTTTCTCCTCTCCAAAAATGAAAAGTAACAAGAACTCTTACAGCCACTAAAATTAAAAGTAAAAAGAAATGAAATCTAGAACACAGAACGCAAAAAACTGCTGAATTAGTAATCTCCTTCTCCTAGGAGGTCTAGGAGCATCCTCATTTTACTACTGAAGACTATGTCTTCTTGGATACTGAAATGTGAAGTCCCTTTATGATGGACTTTGTCACTGCTCTCTGGCTGTACTACATCTGATGATCTCAATTACACTAAGTTCCATTAAAAGTGAAAATGAAATCACACTGTTTTTTACTATTTGGCCTAGCAAACTGATGAATAGTTATACAGTATTTTGTTTCTCCTTATAGCACAATTAAGATGATAAAATTTTAAAAAGACTAGGGATGAGGGAATAACTTAAGCAAAGGACTCTCAATCCAATAATTTTAAAATAAAAATATGGCATCTTAAATTGTGTGTATTATATTTGGTGGTAGGCATTGTGTGGCAATATTCATCTGAAGAGGTATGTCCTTATGCCCCTAAAGTATGCACAGTATTTATAAACACAAGTGACCTCAATAAAAGTATGTGTTACAAAGATCATTTTTGGTTATTTCTATTCGAGGGGAAAAAAACAGGATCTGACTTAGATTAGGACAAGTTGGGATAGAAAAAGCAAGCACGAAATCGTAAGTGAAAACCCCCTAGTTTTGTTTTCTGGGTAAGAGTCTATCTGTATTATTTTAGGATTAAACTAACAAATATTTATGTCAAATGGTCACCCATCAAGCACAAATGTATCTAACTTCAATATTTCACAAAGGAGTCTGAGTAGGACTGTACAGTGCCAATCATTTATCACTTTTAGGGAAAAGCATCAATAGAAATTTAAACAGCATTTAAAGTTGGGTAAGTCATTTATGTTCTTAGTTTCCTATATCAGCCTAGAAATGAAGCTGTCACCTTTTTGCCTTCCACACATTTTTAACAAAGTGTGTTACAACTACTGAACTTAAATATCAAAGAAACAAGACACAAATCCTACCTCTGCTTCTTATTAGCTATGTGACCTTGTACATATGATTTCCAGCTTTCTTAACTCTTACATGGCAGTAAAATATTTCTTTATCTTATAAGATTGTTATAAAAATCAAGCATGACTCCCCACTCTGTCTCTGGTGAAGCCTCTCACCGCCCCTGAGCCTCTGGCCTGTACCCCAGTTCTGTATGAATAAATAAATCTTTAAAAAAAAAAATCAAGCATGAAAAGTATTTACAAAGTAGCATATAAACATTAAAAAACTTATCTGGAAACTCATTTGGACCCTATGTTAATGTAGGTTTATCTTTTTCAACTATTTTCTATTAAATATACCTGAGAAAACTAGGTGGATTCAACATTCAGTTTGTTAAACTCTAACATGATATTTCCTAAGTGTTTTGAGGAACACCTCTACAAAATGCTTGAGGGGTAAAAATCCCGTAGTTTAAAGAGACTGAGAACCACCAGACATGTTCTTGTTTTAACCATTCACCTTAGTTAATATTCAGAGATGTAAAATTAAAAATACAGCCTAGTAAAATCAATTTAAGAAAACAAGTTGTTAAAGATAAAGATTGCTTCGTATTACTGAAATTTAGTATAAATTCTCTATTGATCTTTAGAAAATACTAAGTGGTACTATAGTCCAAGGCACTCATAACCCCTTGTGACACTTCACCATATTGTGACCTTTGTACTTTTTAATGATCCACTTTGCTAAATTGCAAGTCTGTTAAGGGCAAGCAACACATCTTTGCACCTATCCTTTTAAAACAGTCACAAGAGAGCTTTGTTCAGTACATGTTTTTTTGAAACTGTTACTAACTGCATAAAAACACCACCCAGTTTATACAATGTACCTTTAAAATGTTCACGATACAGACAGGTGGTGGCAAATTTTGTTAAAATTGCCAGTTAGTAGATATCTTAGATTTTGAGAGCCATACAGTCTCTATCACAACCATCAATTTTACTGTTGTTACTTAAAAGCAACCTAAAACAATATGGGAGTGACTGAGTTACCATAAAACGTCATAAAAATAGGTAGCAGACTAGATTTGGCTCATAAACCACTCTTTCGCAATACAGACAAATTCTTCTAGTATTCTACAGGTACAATATTGGACACAACCTACATTTGTATTAAAAAGGATATTCAATAAAAGTCCAAGGTTACAGGAAAAATAAATATCAAAATGTACACTCAGTTGTTACCATGACCATCATGCCTGGGTTTAAGCAGATATAAATGAGAAATGTTCTTTCACAATGTACAACTCCCTCTAGTAGCTAACTCAAGATTATTTTACCTTGTATTTTTCTTTGGCTTTCTCCTTTCCAAGAAGTTTAAGAACTTTATCGGCTAACAGCATGCTTTGTTGATTTTGGAATCCTTCTAATATACATACAGCAGTGACATCTAGAAATGATGGAATGAAAAAGAGTAAGAATAATAGTACTGCAATGATGACTGTCAGTATCAAAAGGAAACAGTGGTACCACAGAAAGCTACATTTTGGTTTACATGGCTATCAATTTCATTTCTAATAGGCTGCTTCCTCATACTTTACTAATTTTATATAGTCATGATCAAACTCAAATCTCCATTTTTCTGCAGTTCAGTTACCTCACCTGTGAAATGAAAGGTAATGCATGATTTGCGGTTTTTCACTTCTTTAACATTCTATATAAATAGCAAATATAACAAGGGGGATAGGACAAATCAACAGAGTGGGGATTTTTCATGTCTGTGTGTTTTTATACGTCTGTTATTCCTTGTCTCTTAGGTCAGCTTGCCACTGAGTTCTCAAATATGCTTTCTTCTAATTATGTCATAGTTCAAGATACAGTAGGGTTTGAAAAGGAAAAACAAAAAAAAAAACCTTTTGAAAGTACTAAAACAATAGACATTCCATCTCTAAAATTTCTCTTTAATCTAAATTCTTCCTTCTTCAAACAAGTTACATTTCCATGATAATCTTGTGCTAGTACCAATGCTGCAACCTTTTTCCATCAGTTTTTTTCTATCTAAAATTCTTTTTAATCACCTCTTTACAAATTATCTGATAATAACTTCAAAGTTTGCTCAAAACTGACTTGTCTTCCAAAGCAATATGCCTTTCATCCATTACCAAAATACATGACAGTACAAAATTCCAGTTTTCAAAAATGTTCTCTAAACTACTCACACATGGTAATATGAATTAAAATAATAAGTCTTTTAAATAAAATTATTAAAAATAATGACTAAATCTTCTGTTGATGCTTTTAAAGCAGATTTAAACATGTACGGAAACCACTTTTATAGTGCAGGAATCACACTTTGGTTTGGCTCCAAATCACCTAGAAAGATGTACATTTAAAGTCAGTGGTCCACAGGCTAACTGAAGTTTTAGCAGCAAATAAGGTCAGTTAGAGGTTCCAGAACAAGTATAATATTTAATGAGAACAGCTTTGTATCAGTTACATAGTTTCTGAATATAAAAAGTTTCAAAATACCAAGGGCAGAAACTATTTTCTTTAATGATTTGTTATTATTTTACCTTGTACTTTAATATTAACTTTATACTAAAGTTATTTCATATTTATATAAGATATGTAGAATTTTAGAAACACTATCACTTTGCTGAAACCTCTTTTTAAATTTCTTATTCATGGAGTTACACAAAGCTCATTAATTGCCAAGTTTAAATCTGTGATAGACTCCAGATCTTTTAACTCCACAGTTGGGAACACAGACAACGCTCAGTATTTACAATCTTAATTTAAACCAAAAGAGAGTCTCAATTGGAAAAGTCTAATTTTAAATACAGTTGATTTCTTTAACCACAGGCAGAGTTTCATTTAACCTTACCGATGATTACAAAGCCTTTAATAATTTTCATATATAAACACAAAAATACCCTCACCTTCTAAACATTCCTTCTTATTGTCTAGCTTCTCGTGGGCTTTTGCACGTCTAAAGAGAGCTTTCACATATTTGGGATTAAGTTCAACAGCCTTTGTGCAATCTTGTGCCACCTCTTTCCATTTTTGCTGTAATTAAAAGTATTTTAAAAAGTCACACTAAAAGCACTATTTAATAAAAATCAGTGTTCCAGGCCTAAAAGACTATTAAAAGACCCACACAGAAATAAATATTCCCAACACATACAGTTAATATCCACACTAGCTGTAGAAACAAGACATATGATAAGAAACCTAATTTTAGGAGTTAAAAGACATACTTAGGCCACCTTCCAACCACCAAATCTACACACCTACCTGCATCTATATGTTCATGTCATCGTCCTCCTGTTAACGCCAACAAGTGCCCTTTTCATTAAAGGCAAACCTTCCTCTTGTGATGTGGATTTTTTTTTTAAAGATTTATTTATTATTTATTCGTACAGAACTGGGGTACAGGCCAGAGATGCGGAGGGTGAGAGGATTCACCAGAGACAGAGTGGGGTACAGAAAAGGCATATCGACAAAGTACACTGCTGAGGGGGGCAGCGGGTGGGTCAGGAGAGGTCTGCCATGCCATGTGGTCACCTCCGGGGCAGGCGGGAATCGAACTCATGCGAAAGTGGCTTCAGCCTCTCAGCGCTGCGCTTTAACCAGCTGCACCACCAGGGAGGGCCTGTGATGTGGATCTTTTCCATATCAAGTACTTAATGGTTATCTATCTCAGCTCTTCATCAACCCTCTTCTCTACTGAGTCATTCCAAGGAACATAAGAACAGTTGTTCTAGTATTTTTTCTCTTTTAAAAACTGTCTGATTCTATAATTCACTGCAGCCACTACCCCATTTCTCAGCATCTTTTTAATATCAAACTTGCAGAGTTGCCACTCTCCTTGATTCCTATTTACCTTACTCGGTACTCAATTTTTTTCATGGAACTTTCCCCTTCCACCTATCTCTCTCGGTGATCACACCTGTATGGTGCTGGCACTATGTAACATCTAAAAGTAGGTGAAAAGTATGTAACATCCTAAAAGTTATCTCTATAGTCCAGACTACTCCTAAGACTCCTAAGAGATATTTTTCAACTCAGCTGTTTACTTAAGCTGTCTCACTCCTCATCCACTTCACTATCATTAAAATTAATGTTTTTCTTTATCCTTCACAGCCAGTAAAACATTAAGTTCCATTATTCTCCAGCTTTCCTCCATGTCTTACCTAGCCTATGTGATCTTTACCTAGTCTTCCTTCCTTTTCTCTATTACATTCTTGACAGAACACTAAGAGTAATTTTTTTTTTAAGATTTATTTATTTGTACATACAGAACTGGGGTACAGGCCAGAGGCTCAGAGGTGGCGAGAGGCTTCACCAGAGACAGAGTGGGGAGCAGAACAGGCAGATCGACGAAGTACACTGTTGAGGGGAGCAGCGGGTGGGTCAGGAGAGGTCTGCCACGCCATGTGGTCACCTCCGGGACAGGCGGGAATCGAACTCATACGGAAGTGGCTTTAGCTTCTTAGTGCTGTGCTTTAACCCGCTGGGCCACCAGGGAGGGCTACACTAAGAGTAATTTAAGATGATGTTCCTGCCCCTACTTAAAGTTCCTACCATTGTAACCTTCTGTATATGAGACAGTCAATAAAATGTAAAATTTGGTTGAACAAATAAAATACAAATACCCAATGAATAAAGAAAAGGCTAGTTAACTTTAGCAACATCCCAAAAAGTGCAAATTAAAACAATGAGACAGGACAGTATTTTTAGTCTACCAGAATTGCAAAAATCAGTAATAATAGTGAGAATACTGGAAAACTAGCATGCTCAAATATTATGAGTGTAAGTAAGTATTGATACTATTTATTTTCATTTCTAGAATTTTATTCTAGAATTTTATCCTCTGAAAAGTATGCAAAAAAAAAAAAATACTTACAAAAATATTTACTGCACCACTGTATGCAACAGGGAAAATAGGAAGCAATCCAAATGTTCATCATTAGGGAGATGTTTTCCACTATACAATCATACAACAGCTACTACATATATCCTTTAAAAAGAATGAAACAGATCTGTGTGTGCTATGAAAAGCTGTACAAGATATAGTGGCAACTGAGAAAATATGTCACAAACAACAGATATAATAGAAAGTCATTTATGGTCTTTCCCCCCCACATATTATATGTGTGGAGACAAAAACTTGAAAAAATAAGCTTAAACTGTTGAGGATGGGATCACCAGAAACTTAAACTTTACTTATTTCTATAAACTCTGATATATATAGTTGTAACTTTGAATTGGATTTGTACCCAGCAAACTAAAATTTCTTCTTAAAAAAGTTAGGTAATTGAAGGACATAAAAATAAAGTAAAAATCCTATAATTTCAAGACAACTTCAAAAAATTTATTAGCTGTATTAAAGTTGCACTAATTGAAACATACAAATAAAAAGGAACAAAAAACAACACAGTATACATACCAATTGTTCAAAGGCAGCAGCTCTGTTTTGATAAAACGTGGAAAGGTCAACGTTCTTCTCTGTAGGACACAAACTGATAGCCTCAGTATAGCACTGAATAGCTTGTTCATATTTTCCTGCTTTGAAATACTTGTTGCCTTTGTTCTTGGCTGCTTGGGCTCTATCAAGAGAGTTCTGAAATGAAAGGAAACAATTATTAAACATACCAATACTCAGGAATAGATTCAGATCACAGTAATTAAATGATAAAAAAGGGTAAATAGAATCTTGTTTACAGCAAGATACTTCAAATAAATATCTTCAAAGGTTAGTTAACAGGACTGCTAGGCTTAAAAGCTTTGTATATTTTAAATTTCAAACACTTGAAATTTTCAAAAACACAGTAGTGCCTTAAAAAGTACCACTTTCCACCAATTCTGCCAGCAACAGGGTGACAGCATTTAGTTTTTGTTAATTCAGTGGATATAAAACAGTGGTTCTTAATCAGGAGTGGTTTTATCCTCTACAGTACATTAGACAGTATCTAGAGACATTTTCAATTGTCACAATAGGAGGGACCAGCCATGATGCAAACATTCTGTCAGAACAATGCATGGGCCATTCCTCACAAAAAGAACTGCTAGATCTGAAATGTGAATAGTACTAAAAAGCAATATTCTAATATTTTAGTTTCTTCACTATTTTTAAATTTGAAATTCTTTTCATATTAGCCATTTGTCATTCTCATTCTGAAAGCTACATATTCAAATGTTTTATTATTTTTCTTTGAGGCTGTCTATTAACACTGAGGAACATAGTGAAAACACTAAGATTTTTACTACAATTATTATCTTGTATCTATTGTTTGTTCATCAGTAAAATTCACCCTTCCATTTGTCTCAGAATGTGCTTCCTTAGTGACTTACATATTTCCTAAATAGGAAGAGTTGGTAATTAATATCCACTGAGGACAGTTGCAAATATTTCAGTTAACATTTGGGAAGCATCTTTGTAGATAAATCCAGTTATTCAGATTTCAGTTACCAAGCTTGGGAGTTTTGTGGTATGTTTTTACCCCAAACTTGAAAAAAGCAGCAATTGCTGCCCCCAATCACTTACAGGGGCTATGAAAGTCAAATTGCTGTTCAAAAAGAAGATAACAGCCTTCCTTTTCATCTTTACTCTGGCTTGATTTTTCTTTGTTTTAGCTTTATTCTATTTATCTTTTTCCATTCTCCATTAGTCTGACAACAAATAGTTATTTTTAAAAAGTATAGTATACTAAGGATTTGTAAGAAGTTAAATTCAGAAATTTAACAGCTAGTTTTAGCTAGCCTGTTAATAAGAAACATGCATATTTTAAAACTAGGTTGTAGAGGGTGAAAAGATACAAAGAACAAATAAGTTAACAGTTGAATTTAAAGTCTTATATTTGTCATTAGCCTTAAACATAACAAAAATATATCCACAACTATCACCAAAACAACGTTCATTGTATGTTAATAAAGGGTGTATTCGTTCTCAAAATTTTCAAGAATTCCAGTTATCTACAGTCTTACACCCAATAGCAGCTTTTAAAAATAAGACGCTTTAGTAAAGTAACAATTATGTCTGACCTCTCTTACCATGTTAATTTACAAATAATCAAATTTCAGCAAGCCCTAATACTTCATTTATGGATTACTAAACAGTGGCTGTTAAAAAATGATACTATAACATACAAAACAAAAAATCTGCACATCTGCATATTAAGAATGTGACAGAAAATCCTCAGCATAAGAGCTCCACAGTAGAATACAAAGAGGAATCTTTATGTAGTTGTGGGCTGGGTGGGAAGGGGGGAACCTATCAAAGTGATTGCTGGAAAACTGCATTTGAAGCAACCTCATCAGTCTTCCCACTCCACTGAGAGATGCAAAGTCAGAACAGAGTAATGTTGTATCATCCAAAAGGAATGAGAATAACCAAGAATAACAAGCATATCTTGAATACCCAAGAATAACAAGCATATCTTGGTTTCTTCCAGGCAACCACACTGCCAAGAACTGCAAACAAAAAGGAGTATTAATAGCATAAAAGAGAGGAAGTCAAAATAAATAGAAAACTAATATTTGAGAAAGCAGGATAAACAAAGCCAATAAAACCAAAAATGAATTAAATGAAAGGCTATCAAACTCACTTTTAAAAAATGCCTGCTTTTAAAAAGATGTTAATGTAGTAAACAGAAAACTCAAAATTTATCAAAGAATAAACTGAAGAATGTTCACATGAAAATACATGAATCAATATAACATACCCACCTCTATATATTAACATATACTACACAATATATCAGTTGGATGGGTTACATATTGTTTTACATACTATTACACATAGTATTATGCCATTAGAAGGGTGTGTTTAAAAGGCACATATTAGACAGCTTAAAAATGTCAAAGGATTATTATGATTCAGTTGGGTGGACTATATACTAGAATAGGTATAACTGAGGAACAAATTAACAAGTATAAGGTAGCGGCAAGGAAGTCTGAATACAATAAAAACAGGGTAGGATTGTAATAAGTTTGAAAGAAAAATTAAATGACATGGACTATAAATATAAAGTATGGAGTGGAGCTTCTAAAAACATTAGAAAAATTCCTCGAGATAAAAGAAAAATGATACATTTTTGGACTTATCACAGTAAAATTTCAAAACAAAAATCCTGAAAGTTTTTAGATTACCTACAAAGGTGTGTGTGTGTGTGTGTGTGTGTGTGAGAGAGAGAGAGAGAGAGAGAGAGAGAGAAGGACCCCAAACCATCTGACTGTCACTGAATTGGACACTAGTAAATTAAAGTAACAACTTCAAAAATTCTGAATGAAGATAATTTTAAGTTAAAATCTTATACCTAGCCAAACTAGCATTTAATATTGAACATAAGAAATAGAAGTATTCAACTTTCTTAGCACTAAAAATAAATCCTAAAGTGAGACAAATGGTCAATACGACAAAATGCAGAAAGGGGAGGATAAGAAAAGAAGCAAAATACGTATGACAAAAATCACTAAAAAAGTCATTATTAATCTTGAAAAGGTCAGATTTGATATTAAATTTTCAAATAGGCAAAAAACTACATGCTGCCTATAATATAAAACATGACCTGGAAAAAAAAAAAAGCTCCAAAAAGCATATAGTAAAACAAAAAGCCAGTATCAGACAAAACATCATTCGAAAGTCTTGGATGGTGCACGGAAGTACAGCTTTATTGATAAAAAGCATAGTGCCCAAAGCACATAATCTCCAAGCTAAAAGCATTTCATAATCTCCAAGCTTTATGTGCCTAACAAAATTTCAAAATAATGAAGCTTAATTACTTTTGATATTAAATATAAAGAAAAACATTTCCTCTTCTTTCACAATGTTTCTAAGTCATTTGAGAACAGGGCCAATATACAACCTAAAACACTTGAAACTGTACACAGGAAATCATGTATGAGAAATGCCTGACTAACAATTTATTGAAGATTTATTTTTTTTTATTTTATTTTATTTTTTTAAAGATTTATCTATTTGTGCATACAGAACTGGGGTACAGGCCAGAGGCTCAGGGGCGGTGAGAGGCTTCACCAGAGACAGAGTGGGGAACAGAACAGGCAGATCAACGAAGTACACTGCTGAGGGGAGCAGCGGGCGGGTCAGGAGAGGTCTGCCACGCCATGTGGTCACCTCCGGGGCAGGCGGGAATTGAACTCATGCGGAAGCATCTTTAGATTCTCAGTGCTGTGCTTTAACCCGCTGTGCCACCAGGGAGGGCCAGAAGATTTATTTTTACTAGATTTGCAGGCTAACTGAAAAGGATATACTCCAGGCAGAATAGTGACCTTGCTTCACTAGCATAAACAGGCAATGAACTTAGAAATGTAAAGCTAATATCACACACAGGGAGATAACTGACACAGCTAGGGCTGACAAGTTCTAACAAAAGAGGAATTCAGTGAGATGGGTACACAGGATTCCTCTCCTTAAAAAGATAAAATATCTCTTTTTATTTAGCAAAGCAACACTAACCTAAATCCAACCAAAAGAAATCTTTCAATTAGCCAGTACCCTTCATTCCCGCAGCTTAAAAACAGCTTCCTTTTTTAATATTATTACAAATTCTTTAATTCCCTAGGCTCAAATCTGACTCTGGTCAATTTCCTTTCCTTATTATACTGTAGCAAAAATGATGCTCCTACTGACACTAAGGGATCAAATTACATAGGGAAAGCACCAAACAGCAAATTTTCTTCCATTGCTCCTTCAGTGCCAGTTAAGAAAGCAGCCAAACTGTATTTTCAAGAGGGCAGGTCCTCAGTGATAACCTCCTGTTCATCATCCCCTAACTTTCCTGGTAAATGTTTCCCTTTGTTAATAAAAGTGCAGGGGGCTCCTTCCTAGACTAGTGAAGTCTCAGAGCTATCAAGCTAGCTGCTATATGCAGCCATTGGAGCATGAGTTAAGATTGGTGGCCAGGGACCTAATCTACATGGGGCAGCAGACCTCTCCCGTCTCACTGCTTCCCTCAGCAGTGTACCCCACTAGATATACCTATTCTGCTCCCCACTATTTCTGGTGAATCCTCTCACCTCCCCCCACCTCACCTTGCCCTATACCCCAGTTCTTGCATACATAAATAAATCAAATCTTTAAAAATAATAAAAATGCAGAGAAAGAATGGCATTATGGTGGCTTATGACAAGAGAAGTATAGAAAAACTATTTTAACTCACTGATGGAATTCAGAAGAACACTGGCTAGCAAAATCCCAACTTATCAATCAACACCACCTTCTACTATGTCAGGAAAAACCAGATACAAATTAAAATAAATGCACTGGTATTCTTTATAATAGAAGAGATTTTTATCATCTCACAGGAATCCTGTGAAAGTACTGCTTTAAATTCATCCCTCTTCCACGTCTACCTTGACAAAATTTAAAAGGTTGAAATTTGAAAATAAGCCCAAAGACATTTTTGAAAGCATATTTTACATATGAAAAATGAGGACATATAGATCTAAAACACAATGGGAACATTCTGAAATGCTAGTATCTTTTTACATGGCCTGTTTACATATCTAAAAGCAAAGGAGATTTAAAAGATCATAAAGCCAACTTGTATACTGGAAATCACTTGGTTTTTCTTAGTCTTTTTAAGGTCTTGAATATCACAT